AAATTCTTTTCTCCGTTTGTTCGTTGCGTGACTCTGTTCGGTGGCGTTCGTACTTGGGTTGGTCGCACTGCCTTGACTTGCCATTGCTGCTTCAATTTTCACTATTCATTTTATCAACTCGGCAGGCTGCAACCCTCGACGCAGAAAATCGACAACGCAGGCGCAAACCAGGCGGCGGTGGTAAGCAGTAAAAGCAGGATGAGCAGAGAGGGATGTCCGTTGCGGGCAGTGGTTGCATTGCAGAAGAAAAAAGAGGCCCAACGTTTCTTGGCTAGCTAGCAGGGCTGTGAGACTGCATGCTATATATGGAATATTACACTGGCCATTCTAACGACGAGCCAGTATCCGGTACAGCCTGGCCGTCCTGTTTGGCCAAGGAGATGACGAGACGATCCGCTGGGTTGGCTCTTCCTTCTAAGAGTTGCGGATGTAGTGCATATGAAGCGCTAAAGATGACGTATCAACCGCGCCAGCCACTACCTACACGAGCACTACACGTAGCACTTTTACCCTTTTGAGAAACTCACGAGAAAATGAGAGAAAAGAAGCCCTCACGTACGGCAACTGTATGGCTGGCTAGTTAGAGGTCGGCATCCGCCATATTCGAATGCTCATGGCGCTAATTATTATATTGCGCGTATCGGCACGGGCATGGGCTCGCACTTGTCAAAGTTTACCAAATTGTCTCTGAAAAGAGAAAAGGAAAAGAGTAATTGATAAATGGTTCGGAGAAAAAGAAGAAGCTCCAGTCGCTGTTTGTCCGTCGTTATCTCCCCTTCATTGTTTTTCTCCGTTTCTTTCGCTCACCGTTGATTTGTCCTATTCAAACGCGACCTTCCACTTTTTGATGTTTGAGTCAAAACAGAACGCGGTCCAATTGCGCCGCTGCTCATTCCTCGCCTGTGTCACGCTCAGTTGCGTCGGCTCGTGGCACAGTGTGCCGTCGAATGGTTTGTTGCTGTGGCAAGTGATGCAGCACATACGACGGAAACTGTTTCATTTTGTTGCGGGAGTGCTGTCTGTCTGTACTGCTTTCACTAGTCATATACTCGACCGTAGTCATTCCTGGAGTCATATGCCCCTCAAGACTACTCGACAGTCAAAAACATGAATGCTACAAAACCCCTAACTTATTGTGGCGCAACCGCCGCGACCACTGCTGTTACCGCTACCTCTGAAAGTGCTATTGGTATAGCAATGATACGTCAGCCGATCTGTGGCGCTACAGTCGCTAGAACCGTTGCTGAGCGTATGGAGGAATGAAATACGTATATCAGTTATTTGGAATGGAGTCCCTGTGACAAACTTCATGTGGCCGCTACATAGTAGAGTGGCACTTTCAGTTAGTGCAGTTGGTAAAAGTCATATTACCCTTCTATAATCTTGTCAAATGATGCTGCAGCCCGTTGATGATGTGGTAACGCTTCAGATTAGTTCACTTGCTACTTGAAGTCTGTTCTGTGTTCGCGTCATTCCTGCAAGGGAATGAAATAGGGAACGAAATGCTGGACAATTTTGAAGGGGGTAAAGAGCAAGAAAGGGAAAAGTGATTCAGTAAAGAAAACTTCACTCTCCTTTTCGAGGTCAATTTGTTCCTCCTGCCTTTTCAACGTATCTAATAGCGCGTGTTGCCCAGGTACAAGTGTAGTTAGAGCCATTGCTGATCTCGCTATCAGCGACATCGATTGTTGTGTTGACAAAGCTAACGTGTTCACAGCGGACATTGCCTTCGGCAGAGTCGGTCTCCGATACAGACCATATGTAGATACTTTGGCTCGCTGCAAAATAGGTTCGATCCGCTATTGTGTACTAGAGAACTTACGGGAAAAGGCAAAGAGAACGAATTAGCTATGCTAACCCATTCCTTCTGTCATAGTACAGGAACCACTGATGGGTAACACTTATACCATACAGTAGCTTGATAATGCACCCGCTGTACACCGCGTCGCTAAATTGTAATACAGGTCGCTCCGCGCCCGGAAAGGAACAAAGTGCGCTAAAGCGGTAGATTGCTGTCTTACGTATAATAATGTTATCAGTACTAGATGCGCTTAGCACGTGACGAAGCCTGGGAAGCGGACAAGTAGCAGCAAGTGTAGGTGAAGAAGCTACCGTATTCGCGTTTATTGTCCTTTTCAGTGTCTTCCAATGAGAGGGCATTATGCCCTTTAAATGCCGTGCAAATCGCAATCGTAGTTGATCACACACAAAATTCACAGCCTCTCCGTTTTGCTGTCACGGCGAGAGAAAGCCCGTGCGTTGGATTAAATTACGTTGTTACTGAACCCCGTTAGCAACAAGACGATGGGTGAGCTGTTCGTCTTTCGTATGGCGATTTTTGCTTGTTTTCTTCGGTCTTTATTGTTTCTAGCGTCGCAGTTTCTATCAGCAGCAGCAGCAGCGACAAAACCATTTTCGGCCTGTGGAATTACCGTCTGCACTGCGTTCTACTCTGTTTATCTTTGAGCTGCAAAGCCCCTAGCTGCCGTTACTTCGATGGTCTTAAAAAAAGCTAACTTTTCGGTTAGCATTTTTATAGCAATGAGCGAGACCTCTGTTGGGCGCATGGCTTTAATTTGCTAGCTTCCTGGTTGCTGGCACTGCTTTTACTGCTGCTGACTTGGTGGTCGAAGGAACTGGATGACGGAGGACCTATATGTAGTTAACGTGTGCGCTGCAACGGTCGCTTTTGCTGTCTTGACGGACGAAAAGTGTGTCTCGCTTGCGTCTTCCGCATGTTGATGGCGCCACCTCTCGGTAGCGCCAGCAGCAAAAGTCGGGTCATCGGCGAGGTCGCTGTCATGAAACGAGTGGCAGGTTATTCTGATGACGCTATATAACCATGGTATAAAGATGATTACTCGCAAATGTGAGGTAACTGCCAAACACGGCAAATACTGGCTGGCCAGTAAGCACTCAGGGCAGCTGCCATCCACAAAACTTCCCGCTGCAATTAGCTCGCATTTACGTTTGACGTGTAACTATACGTATCGGTATCGTATATGTCATTTGTATTGTCCTTATTCGTATTGTCAGTATGCAGCGCATCCATAGGCCGTTCGCGAACTCGGCGACTCAGTGCGTAGTAGTAGGAAGATAAAGGTGCAGTAATGCCAGACGGCCGTGATAGGGTGGGGTCTGAATAAGCTGCGATGCTAGAAAGATGGACGGCTGTGACATATAAGATATGTATAGATGAGGAAAGACGACCTTTTTCTGTCGATTTTCGGCCCAATTGAGTTCCATTTCTAAGGTGCTCACGTCACCTTAGCGGATGGCGCTCTCATTTATTATTGCGTGGAAAACAGGGTACATAATAGAAGGCTGTTATAAGATGAAATACGAACGCACACCGTAACCGTGCCGTAATCGCTATTGCAGACGCGCGAATTGTGGACGATGCGTTTCTTAATTATCAGTAGCATCTGATAAAAATTATCGCTAATAATCTTGTGATTGCTAGTGGATTTTTGGGGTACCAATATTAAGGTTGTCTGTGTTTCATCGACCAGCCTTGTGTACTGTCTTTTGATATTCAGTCACGAACAAAAGTTAATAAGGCTGCTGCTGAAAAATGCGAATATTACGGTTTGTTAGGAGCAGTTGGATAAAGAAAACCTTGGTCAAAGAAGGTCGCTTTGGCGGTAGTGGCGATCCTATTACGATGATCTCATGCAACATCAACAAGTTAGTTCTTTTGTCACGCCTGTGCGGACCCGGAAACTTGGCCGGTCCAACGAAATCTAATGAAAAGGACCGCTCTCGGCATCGATGAAGGTCACACTGATGCTGCAAGACGACACAGAAGAATGCTAAGAAAAGAGGGGCCACGAATGTCGAGGCAGCCAAATAAACCAAGTCCCATTCTCCAGCCAACCAGAGCCGCTCACCCGGTCCTACTCCGACTGCAGCTGCAGCGGGACTGCAAGCTGATATGGGAAGGATTGTCATCGCTTTGTTCCAGCAGCAGCAAAACTTTGATAGGACTATAACGCCGAGGAAAAATAATGGCAGCGACTGCTGCCAGCACAGCTAGCAGCCTTAGTGGGGACAGTGGGTGGGCGTCAGGGTTAGGCGAAGGGGTAACTAGGAACTGGAAGCAGCGAAAAGTAGAAGCTAACGTCGCAAGGAAACAAAAGACGGTCGAGCAAGGAGTATTACTGTTTCCTTTATGTCTAAACAATCGACTGGTCGGCCGTGTATTTAACCGGCTGGCTTACTTCTTAGTTTTCTTGTTGGGTCAGACTGCACTTTAGGCTTCCTTTTAGTAATTCGTTTGTTGTAACCGACCGACGAAACTGGCATTAAATATTGCTTGAGGTGGCTAACTCTATGCACGAGCATTGCGATCACTTCTGATTTCTGACTTGTATCCCAAATGTTCGTAAGCAAACACGAGTTAGTTAAATCATTCTGGGGGACTTCCTTTTTTTGAGACACCATTGGCTTAAAATAAAAGGTTCATCAGAACCAACATTCGGTGGCTATTTCTGCTAAGAAAGGGAGCAGAATATCAGCACATGTAACTTCCATCACGCGAAAACTAGTGTGGTGTGCATAGGAAAAAGCCTTCGTAATATTTTGAAGGACTCGATCTTACAATTTGACTATCCTTCAGACTCCGAAATTCGCTACCTTCATGGCCATCACACCGCTGTCTCTATTTTTGTTTGGCAAGGCTCTTTATTGTTCAAGCGTCGAATGCTTTGAAAACTTTTTGGGGGGCCCATCGAACACCACAAGGGAGTCATAGACACGAGGATTTAAAAGTCAGCTATAAGGCACACGAGTACTGCGCAGCCGAGCTGCTGTCGCCCTCTAGCTGTACAGCCCAGCTGGGTAATATTGTAAGACTACTGGGGGGCGAAATGCGTGGGAAAGGCAGGGATGAGTAGGGCTGAATTGGCCAGCAAGCATGTTATCGAATCGGTTACAAAGGAGATAGGAAAAAAGATGAGGTCAACGACAACTAACGTTTGCCGTGGCATCCTCCTTTGCAGGAGTCATTCGTACGAAATCAGTGCTCGACTGTGAGAACAAGCCATACTATTGGCTGGTCGTTTCAGCGCAAGATCGCGCTGCCGTTCCGCTCAGTTCCCGACTTGACGTCTTCATCAAAATCAATGACGTAAACGACAATATCCCGCTTACAAAGCTGCCGTATTATAAAGGAACAGTGCTTGAGGATTCTGCCTCTGACGTTTCTGTACTGAGTATAGAGGCATTCGACGGAGACCATAGTGCGAACGCCGAAAAGATCTCTTTCAAGATCACTGCTGGTGATCCTCAAGGGTACTTCAGTATTGACGAACACACTGGTCTCATTACGACAACTAATCGCAAGCTCGACCGTGAAATCCAGGATAAGTACTTGCTCGATGTTACCGTCACCGACAATGCTGAACCTCCTCTCTCATCTGTAACGCAAGTTCTAATTCACGTCGGAGATATTAATGACCATGATCCGAAGTATACGCAGGTTCAATATCGCTTTAAAATACTAGAGCAGGAAGAACTCAGGGAACAAGCTGACCTCGCACAGGTAGTCGCATCTGACCCCGATACTGGAGCAAACTCCGAACTGGCCTACTCTATCATCAAAGGAGCAAGCTTCCGCTTTTCAATCGACCAACAGACCGGCATGATTCGCTCGAGATCGGCGTTGCTGGCCGACGAAATTTACGAGCTGCATGTTAAAGTCAGTGACCTTGGCGAAGTTCCCCGGCACTCCACCTGCGTAGTTATGCTTCAGGTGGCACCACGACCCGTAGCCGCCAACAACAAGCCGCCAAAGGTGAAGACAGTTGACGTCAGCGAAGTGCTGGAAACAGACAAGGTCGGCCATGTAGTTGCTATGATTTCCGCCATGGACTTCGACCTACATACAGTGTACTTCCGCATCAGCTCAGGTAACGAGAAAAAACTCTTCGCACTGAAAAAACCGGACGAGGGTGCTGTAATCATTGCTCGGCCCATAGTACAGTCCGACGTTGGGACGCACACCCTCGGCGTCGAGGCTACTGACGGCCTATCCAAGACTTATATTGAATTTAATGTTACCGTCATGGATGACAACAATCAGTATCCCGAGTTCATTGAAGAAAAATACTCGGTCGAGGTCTCGGAGATGGTTAAACCTGGTACGGATATCCTTAAGATCAAGGCTATTGATAAGGATGTCAATGACCAGCTCTTTTATGCCATTCATAACGCAGCTGCAGTTGCCAGTATGAAAAAGTTCCACCTGGCAGCGTCCACGGGAATCCTGCAAGTGGCCCAACCATTAGATCACGAGGAAACCCGCGAACATGTGATTACCGCTCTCGCTAAGGATTCAGGTAACGTATTCATCGTTGATATGCAGTTTGTTACCTTTCTTTTCGTCTTCGTAACAGTCTTCGAGACTATACGTATGACCGAATACTTTAAGTCGTATTAACTTTCTCTCTCGTTATATATATCACACTTAGTACGAAGACGAAGAATCCTGATATACCGTTGTATCCCAAACAATCGTCGACACATTATTATACGAGGTTTGTCGGTAACATTTACTCCTTACCCTCTGCTTCAACAGGTTTGCCTGGTAAACGCGCTTATGTTCGAATCCACGTGCACGTGGTGGACCACAATGACCATGCGCCTGAATTTCTACAGAGCTCGTTCGAGGGCAAAGTATTCGGAAGTGCAGCTATTGGCACGTCCGTGGTGCAATGCACGGCTATCGACAAGGACCGGGGCGACAATGCACGCATCTCATACAGTATCGTATCAGGTGAGTAACGACCTGGGGCTTTACTTCGGCCTGTTACGCAGTTGCACCGTACTATTACATCGACATGCGTACATTCATATAGTTAAAAACTGAATCACATATTAAACTTTATCTCTATGGATATAAGTCCCAGATATTGGGTTGTTGTTTGAAGTTGTTTTAGGTGCATCCCTATCTACATAGATATTACAATAATCCCAAAGAAAAACACCACTCAGCCGGCTACGAACCTTAGATGTTTTAGGAAACAGCCACCGAAATTCGTTTAATCTTAATTATTGCAAGCAAATTCCTTCATGGGTTTATTACCTGTTCTAAGGGGAAAATCAACGCAGTTAATTTTCCCCTTAGAACAGGTTCGAGGTGAGTTCTGCGATGAGGGCGATATAGAACGGGTTGTGTAGGCACATAAGACATACTATATATCATAGAAGCATTTCTCCGACATAAAGGTTTTAGTCGTTAATACGAGTGTGTACTGTATACTAACTCATGCATAACAGAACGATTTCTGTTTTACAATTCAAACAGAACAGTTGTCAACACCGTAGTGCCGTTTGCCATTATACACAATTACTAGTGAACGGACCATTATTTAAATAACAGCTCTTAAAAGTTAGTTTCTCTCGAGAATCGTCGACGCGTATTGTCCTCACGATTTACACTCACAAGTCACAAGCAACCGTATCGTGGCGCACCTTCGCCCTTGGTCTTTTCTCATTAATAATGAGGTAGCCTTTAAAGAAATCCTGAGGCAGAAACCGTTGTGCTTAGGCGGTTCAGACGAACTAATATCATTGTTATCATCACCATATAGAGAAACGGCGCATTTTATGACCTGCGCCGGGGGGGGGGGGGGGCAGCTTCTAGCAAAATCAGGCTTTCCTCAGGACCTGCTCCGGCACGTCACCTTCGTCCTTACTATTGACTGCCGGGCACGTAGGGTGATTCTGCAAAATCAGACATGTTCTTAGCGGAGACTTCATCCATTGTTTGCCAGCTTTGCTGAAAGCCCGTCAGAATGGCTTCGTAGTATCATCTGCATGTTGCCTGGCATGACGACAATATAAATGCATAATAACGATAATTATTATCGTAGCATATAATGATATCTGTCGCATAAATTAATAAACAAGAGGGGCTTAAACCCAAAAGAAAGTGAGAATTGATCCCGTTCACGTAAGATTCAGTAAAACAACGCTTTTTAGCAAAAAGTGATTCTCGTTCGATAGCGTGCAGTTACAACGATCTAGAGAAATAACAAACTATAGGCGTGTTCCTAATGAAACTATAGGCCCACACAGGCGCCCACAACAGATTGAAGAAATCTTTGATCGTAGCCATTGAAGTGTCACAGATGAATGTAGTAAATGCGATTTAGTCAACAATCATATGCTTCAAGTAGACGCATGTTATAACCCAGCGTACAACATGCACGAGCTTTTCCAAAACGAATGCGTGATTCACCGGCAGCGGCAGTTCCGTGTGCGCGTGCAATTCTCGTTGGCGGTTTCATAATCAGTAATTTCATCGGTAGATCGACCGTCGCCAGCTCAGAACGTTCCAGAAGGGATGCCTGCCTGGCCCCTGGATCCTTTTTGTAAATTTTGGTGTGCTACTTTAATATTTTTACTTTCCAATTCACTGAACAGACTGCCATTTGTAGTTCTCGTGCTCGGCGGGGTCATTAACAACTCAGGGAACAGCCTGAAAAAAAATCAGTTAAGTTCTCTCCCACAAGTCAAACCATGTGTATCCATAAAATCACGTAGCATCTTGCCTTAAGACGAGTGTAGCCAGTAGAAATAACAAGATGATTAGTCATCCTGCCCCCACCACAGTCTAATAGATATAAGCAGCCGTTACTTGCTGACTTTTTAAACGATCGCAGGTTTTGTGAATGCGTCCTTAGTCAGAACACTTTATTTGATCAGAAGTAGAACATACCCTAGATTTGTTTCTGTAATATAATCAACACCGATCGTATGATAGCCGCCTTTTGCTGCCTTTCCATAAAATAGAGAACTTTCACATTTAAGTCACCAATAAAAAGGAATCGTTCAGTCAACTATGCATCCCTATAACTGGATCGACGTAAAAGGTGAAATCCATCCCTTATCCGGTCATATTCCACATCGGAAACTCCCCGGATGATGACCACGCAGCTCTGTCTAATTGAACTGTAAGCTCTAGTAGTCCACAAGCACTCATGATCAGTAGAGACTACAACAATCGCAGCTGTCGTGGATCTTCATTGTAGTATCTGACTTCTACATATCTGAAAAAAAGCGTGAATTTTGAACGCCTGTTTGGGCAACCATTATTTATCTAAGAAGTCTCCTAAAAAGTGGTTTTCATCTCCCACCAAGCATAACTTCTACTTTCTCCGATAGTTATTAGTTGTTCGTTAGTTGAATACAGATTTGATGAAACAGCAAATGCTACATGGCTGAGTCGGCAGTTGGCCGTTCTTCCTGTATGTTGTTTGTCGTCAAACCCCAGCGGATCGGACGACAGCACGCCCGATCTTCTAACAAAAGGGCCTTTGCAGATTAACTTATACATACAGACCATCACCCATTCAGCCAGATATACAAACGCTTCAATGAACACTCAGGCAGATGGACAGCCAAACAGATGCGTAAGCAGATCAAACGAGCAGGCGTAATATCCAAGTGACGGACGCCGATAGCAAGCCGCTGGGAACAATTAGATTTAGTGGTACGTCAAGCAGTAATCATAAACGCCTGGATAGACGCTGCATCTATGGCTTTGCTTGCTTCGGGCGTATACCAGCGGCTGCATCAGTGCCTGTTGGTCAGTCTAACTGTCGAGGGTTCTCTATGCTATCACTTTGTCGTGTCGATCCGCAACTGGCTTGTAGGTAGGCACGAATAAGAACTGATAGTCGTATAGAGCTTGCTGACGTATTGGGCCTAACCCCAAGCAAAGTACGTTCGCACACAGTAGGACACTTCTGAATAAGTATAGATAAACTCTAACATGGGACTGAGCACAGTGTCAATTCCCAATACTGTAACAGCAATTGGTTCCCCAAGAACGAATGGCATTGCTTCATGCAACGAGCACCCATCGACATCGAACGAATTCGAAGCCCAAATACTGACAGCGGAAAAGTTGCTTCCACTCATCCAAATAACAGCTAAACGTTACAGACGATATGAGTTCTCGTCCTGCTCTCCTCAGTTCTTCGCCCTATCTGCTGACATGTCAACTCGTATCGCGACGCCGAGGGAACCTTATTAGGCACTCAATCCTGTCGTAATCTAGGTAACGACGGTAAAAGCCACGGATAGATCTCATACGCGTGTGAAGTTTACCGATCGCCAGTCACGCACACACATGTATTGCATGTCTTGCCGTTTGTAGATAAGCGGGGCAAACTTTGAAGGGGTTACAATGGCTGAATCGTTGTGCGTGAAAGACGACAAACTTCGCACTTCGCCCCTAGTTTCCGAAGCTCAATCTAGTTAACAGCATTTTACTTTAGTTGGCTATCTGTTTTGTTACGAATAAGATAATCGGTCGATGTTCATTTGGCTACTCGTTATCCGTCGGTAACTCGATTGCTACGCTATGTTAAAGAAACCTATCATGTGCACCCATTATTTTATGCAACGCTAGTGTCAGCCGTCGTCGACAAAAATTAGAGGAATATTTAGTATTAGAAAAGCACATCTCGAAACAGTTCAGACTCAATTAGATGTGTTTAATTATCGCCTATTTAGAGGCGTACGTCTCTTTATGCCTATGATCCTGCATAGATACGTTGGAACGTATATACTCCATGCCGGCCTCGCATCTACGCAATTTAGAAACGTCCATGGGAAATGTGTAACATACTGAATAGAACTAGTTTCATCTATTGATATTTTATCGAAGGAGCCCGTCTAAATAAAGACATAGCGTTTCGACAACTAACTACGAACGTTGAGCGTGCCTCACTTTTTGTTTTGCTGGTTCTTGCTAAATATGAAATCGTAGGATATCACTGTGATACAACCCTGAATAAGCATCGTATTGTCTAACTAAAGTAAGCACTCACCTATTGTATCTAGATTTGCTTAAAGTTCTTTTGAATTCTGTGAAATAATAGCTCGAATCACTGCGTTCGAAAATTCTATTATGCCAAGCCCATGTTCCCTTCAAAAAGTCCTAGCGCGGTCATGTGTCACTGTTTTTCAAAATCGACATCCCTCATCTAAACTAAACGATTCCTTGTCTTGCTCGTATAACATCTATTTTTTATACAGAAGTTCCTTAAACCTCCTGGGTGTCAGGGGTTAGCACTGTTCTCGCGTACCTGCCGTGTAATAATATGTACCTTCACAAGGGATGACATCCACGACTTCGGATAGGGTCTACTCATGTCCTTTAGCCATCCAGGCTCCATTTGCGGTAATATTTTTAGTCCTTAGCTTCTTTCTCTACCGGCTAATTAAGAGTTTTTTGCATTCATTACGCTTGTTTTTTCATGTCGCTCTATACAGGCAATGTGGGTGGAAGTTTCAATATCCAGCCGCAACTGGGCACCCTAAGTGTGGCGAAACCCTTGAACCAGCAGGTGCTCCCGGAATATTACCTCGTCGTTCGTGCCGATGACCATGGCTCACCTTCTCTCAACTCCACCGTCACTGTGCACATCAAAGGTTGAAAGCAGATATTGACAATTCTCTTATAATTATCTCACCGACACAAAAACACAGAGACTCTAAGTGCACCTCCAGTCAATCAACTGGCCTATTGATTGTACTTCTGGACACATTGCTAATGATATATAGTAATGTTTTTGAAAAAAATTACTATACTATCCACTTTATTTGACTACGAATTTGTTTCTTCATCGGATAAATCGAGCTGATTGAATCCATCCAGGTTAGGCAAGCATGCACAAACCTAATTTGGACTACTGAAAAACCGATGACACCTAGAGATGCCGTTTGTAAGCCAGTATACCAGTATATAGTAGTGGCTCTCTGAAGGCATAGGTCGCTCGAGCTGTGGACCTGCTCCCGCTGCCGCCCGTTCTTACCATCCGTGTAATAGAGTTCAAGCCTGAACAGCCATACCCTGCAGACCCAGCGATTTAGGCGGCAAAGGCAGAATCAACTAATGACTTTTTAATTAGTTTCTACTCGTACCCTCCCCTTCCTCTCTCGATATATATATCTGTGTTTGCCTGGATTATTAATGGCGGTAGCAGTTTCTTTACGATTGGAGACAACAGTTTTTCATGATCGGGCCCCGAAAGTTAGGCAAAACAACAGCTGGCTAGTTTCATTTACTGACCTAGCTAGAAAAGTTGATGTCTTTTGTGAAGTTCAAAGAAAGCGGCGAAGGGAGAATAAAGAGCGGCACAATGTCAGCTTCGCAGTAGTAGAGTGTAACTGAAATGAACAAAATGTCTTTTATTGATTTTGAGGCAGAGATTAAATTAGCTTGCAATGAAACGATGTGTAAAGCAGGGCGTAAAGACAGACGGTTGCCATTTAGTATTAAACTGTCCCAAATTTTAGCTGATGCCAAAATGCAATAATGAAACCGAATGAAAATCATATAACGTTTGGTTTCTTCATGTTATCTGTAACGGCCCTCTGTATAATACATCTTATAGGGAAACATGGAGCTGAAACAACTGACATAATTATCACGCTTTCAGTTACGGTCGCGACAAATGCGCCACCACGTTTTGAGGTTGACACCAAGGTGGTAGAGGTTCTGGAAAACGAACCCCTAGGCACACCAGTCGTGATTGCGCAGGCGCAAAGTGGCTCTGCGCTCTACTATGACATCTCGTTGGGCAATGACGAGGGCTGTTTCGTCATCGATCAAAGCTCGGGCGTAAGTTTACATATTGCAACTTAGATTTATCCAGGATATGCACTGTAAATGAGTCGTAGTTTGTTCAGGGGCCATTGATATATAAAAGAAAGTAAACTATCACAGGTATGCCACAAAAATACTAAACGTCAATTAGCAAATATTTTATTCGAATTAGTAAGTTCACTCTCGTCTGTCGTTTTTCTCTCCAGATTGTGACAACAAGCTGTACACTCGATTATGAAATGAAACAGCAGTACCTGATTATTGTTCGCGCTACCAACCTTGTCTACTCTGTCGCCGAGATGGCGCTTACAATCCACGTAGTTGACGTTAATGACAACGCGCCGATCCTTAAACCGAGAAGTTACACCGGACTGATTAGCGAGGTCGCGGAACCGGGCAGCGTTGTGATGACCAACGACTCACTACCTCTTGTCGTGACGGCAACCGACGCAGACCGAGACATCAACGCTCACTTGATTTTCTCCCTGGTAGATTCATGGGCTCGACGCTTTTTCCGGATCGATCCGTCAACAGGGTCGATTTCGGCGGCACACCGGCTAGATCGTGAAGTGCGCGATTTTTATTCATTTGCAGTAGAGGTTTGCGACAACGGTCGACCGACAGCATTGTGCAGCCGTGCCCCGGCAAAAGTTGTCGTTCACGTTTTCGACGTGAACGATTCCCCTCCGCAATTCGAAAAAGAATACTACAATGTTACGCTGGTGTTGCCTACTCATCGAGGCGTAACGGTTGCGCGGTTGACTGCGACGGACCCTGATCTCGATCCGGTAATTCGCTATTCTATCATCGGTGGGAACTCAGAGGAACATTTTTCTGTCGACCCGATATCTGGCCTCGTGAAGGTCAGCCAGCCGAACGGTACGTTATTTATGGTGTGAATTTAAAACACAAGGTAGTACGAGAGAACAACAGCGAATCGTTTGTTGTAATAAGCAAGCGCCAGTTCTCTAGTAATTTTGTAGTAAATTTGTCACGATAAAACACAGTGCCTCTTTTTCGTAATTTAAGCGAGGATTAGCTATCAGCCAACCTTTCCGCGCTGGACGAATTTCCGCCAAACTTAAAATTTCTTTTACCCATGATCAACGGTGTACATTGTCGCCAGGCTTCTAGAAGAAACTTTTGTAAAACGAACCAAAAGATCATCAATAAGTTTTTGATTGAACGTCTCAGAGATTAATCAAGACGGCCGAAAAAGCCATTTTTGATACACCTCAATTTTCTATGCTAAATTCGAAATTAAGGGCCGTTCTAGAAATAATAATGGTTGTCGATCGATGCATCCAGCTATGTTGGAATGATTAATTTTTTTTTAATTTTCGAGTTTTGATTTAAAATGCCATTTTCGGATTTGTTGTCCGTCCATAATTTGATTCCGGTGGGATTCCTTGCATCTAGCATACTTGAGCGACACACAAAGAGTTTACGTCTATTAATATCGTTTGACGCACGTTACTCATTAGGAATTCTCTATGAATCAGGGAAAGTATATCTTGCGGATCTTAAGTCGAAGCTTTAATCATAATTGCCGACAGGATCTTCAGAAATAAAACTTCCAGCACACTTCGCTGAAATATCTATTCTTGTTCAAATATAAGCTCAGAAACGAATCATAGGATAAATTATCAGTACACGCGCCTTGCGTCGTTAATCTTATAACTATTTGACTTCTTAAGGCGAGATCAACATTATATTGATATATTGCTGTAAGAAAAGTAATTTTTTAATAAATGATCTTTCTGCAAAGTATCTATTGCTGAAAATATCGATGCAATCACTGTAGTGATCGGCGTAGACATAATCATCCCGGTGGTCTGTCTTTTAGATATGCTAGATTTCTATCGACTCATCGTTGCTGCTTACGACGGCGTCTATGAGAAAACGACAACTCTGCATGTCGCAGTCGTGCAAAGTTCATCCGGCGTTCCTGGATCTAGCGGTAATGGAGGACGATCGTTTCGTTTCTCTGAACCCAGTTACGACAGCCGTGTGATCGAGAACGTCGAGGCCATTCAGTCGCCACTGCTTGTCCTGACAACAGTAGGCACTCCGCTGCAGGAACATGTGCGATTCACGCTGCTCAATGAAGAGGACAAATTTTCAGTTGGTGAAACATCTGGTGCCCTGTTCATTCGACCAAACGTCCGATTCGATCGGGAGCAGCAGGCTAGTTATAGACTAGTTGTGAATGCAGAAGCGACAGCAAGTGGACGCGTGGCCAGTACTCTAATAGACGTTACTGTAGATGATCAAAACGATAATCCTCCGACATTCGTGGACACACCTTATCACTGCGTGGTGCCTGTTGAGGCCGGCAAAGGCGAACTCGTGCAAAAGGTACGAGCTGAAGACCCTGACTATGGCGTCAATGGCCAGGTGCTGTATTATTTACGCGATGATCACAAAGGCATCTTTGATATTGGCACGCAGAGTGGAAACATCACATTGCGCAAACGTTTACCCGCACACATCACTCGTTATACACTCACCGTTGTGGCGAAAGACGCGGGCTCGCTACCAATGTACTCGGAAGTCCAGGTACCTGTCAAGGTAGTGACGCGTACAATGCCTGCCTTTGAGAAGCAGTTCTATAGCGCCCGAATTAAAGAAAATCATGGCCCCAATGAACCGATTTTGTCTCTAACAGCTACAAGTCCTCGAGGTAGGCCTTTGATCTACGACATTACTGGCGGACACCACAAAGAAGACTTTCGACTTGATTACCAAACAGGTAAGGATTAGTCAGTTCTATAGCGTGCTTAGATTCTCTTCCTATTTAGGTGCTATGTTTTGCCCTTCTCATTCTATCCCTATGCATTGCATATAGTATCGAGTGAGTCTAGTTAAATGTGAAATGCTGATTCATTATTGCGTGTCTCTGCCGTGTGAAGTTTGATTCATGTTTTCATCAAGCACCGTAACAGATGATATTGCTTTTACTAAACATGACCCTCTAGTGACGAGTATTCCTATGGCATGATCGGACTATTAGATACTACCCACTACCTCTAGAAGCTTCCAAATCACATTGTGTTGTTTTATAATAAAAAAGAATAATATATCATTTGCCACTCATTTTGCGGTCTTGCCCCACACCTAATGCGTTTGAGATACTATTGTGAGTAGCAGCCACTGACAATTCACAACACAAGTCGTTTTAATTAATGTTTTTTTCTTGTATGTAAAGGATGTCACCTATTTTTATGACCTTTTTGTTATATTTCTATTATAGTTTTTGATCAGTTATCTGAAAGCGTAATTTTGTTGTGCTCGCATGCGTTGGATTGCTAAGTTTGTCTTGCCGTGTGTTTTGCCTCTTTATCTATGCGTTTTCCAGGACCTAATACTGCTAATTCACCATGTAAGTACGAACTTCTTTTAGGTTTATTTATCTTAAGTTGCACATTTTCCAAATGTGTAATATTTGGTTTGCCATATGCAGCAGCCATTTCAATTATTTATATATATATATATATATATATATTAGATAAACAGCCTAGTATACAAACATTTATAACCTTACATGTATACATACCTATACATGTATACATGAAGTAAAATGTTGCATTTGTCGTCAAATTAGGTCATTTAAAATGATGTAAACAAATATAAGAACGACCTATCCAACATGTTATACTGGTGACACGGTACCCTGTTTTTCTTTTCCATTATCAGGCATACTCTATGTGAATGAACAGCTGGATTTCGATAAAATGAGCAAGTACGACTTGACGGTACGGGCCACCGATTCTGTCACCGGCGCTTATTCTGAAGTCTCTGTGACTTTGTCAATTGAAGATGTCAACAACCATCCTCCACTATTTGAGCAGATCATCTACAACGTTTCTGTGCCAGAGCTTTCCCCTCCAGGATCAAGCATTCTCGCCGTTAAAGCCCACGACAAGGATAGCAACAGCGTCCTCAGCTATTCAGTTGAAGACACGGAACGCTTCATGATCGATGCCAAGACAGGCGTCATTAGCTTGAAAAGATCGCTAGATTATGAGAAACAATCGAGGTAAATTATTCAGGTGACTGATACGTGCCAAGAGACAAGCATATCTGTAAGGCGTAGGCTTGACGAACGCGAGCGATACCATACAATAATAGACGCGTTGCTAGGAGAGATTCTTTTGTTACTATATATAAATAACATAATTTTGAACGTCCCTCATCGCTGAGACAGGCTAATTCTTTGAACTATAAAATAATCAATCCTATCGTTTCTGCTGATGTTCGTTCTCTATCATTGCTTGCAGTATTACTCTGACGGTAATCGCGACCGACTCCGGACCTCCTCACTCGCTGTCTTCTACAGCCCTGGTGTTCGTTCAGGTGACGGACACCAATGACAGTCCGCCTGCCTTTGTTCGGCCTTCTGTAGACTGTTCAGTCAGCGAGCTGGCCCGAAGAGGCCAATTTGTGGCCCACCTCGGCGCCAGTGACCCAGACTTTTCGCCTAGCGTGCTAAGTGTCCCGCAGACACTAGCACGTTTCCCCGACCAGTTTAGCAGCACCCCTAGCCTCGCATACCAAATCATTTCTGGCAGTCAGGCCTTTACTGTTGATCGCTACTTTGGAGTCGTGTCGATAGGCAATTTGCACTTATTCCGTGAGTTGGTCAAGTCGGATCTCGATGTACACCTGCTGAACGTCTCAGTCACAGACGGGGTGTTCGTAGCCTTCTGCCAGCTGCGAATTCACATTGTACCTTCTAACAACCACTCGCCAAAGTTCACTCATTTTGAGTACGAGGCGATCGTGGCCGAAAACTCGAACGCTAACACCTATGTCACAACGGTCTCGGCGAGCGACCAGGACAGAGGTAGTTTTGGCCGGGTCAAATATTACATCCAGTCTGACGAGAATAACCGATACTTCAGTCTCGATCCAGATAGTGGCGAAGTACGCACAAGGAAACTGCTCGATAGAGAAAAAAAACAGCTTTACAATATTGCCATCATCGCCGAAGATGGTGGGGGCAGGATTGGTCATAGCGTCGTACGGGTGACGGTCACCGATGTTAACGACAATGTGCCCCAATTCATGTTGCCCGAATATCGAGCTAACGTAAAGAACCATACGATTGGGCAGACCATTCTGAAGGTAACGGCAGTAGATAAAGATCTGACATTGTCCACCTTACGACACTCTATACATGAAGGCACTCCTCGTAATGTTACCGAAAGCTTTGGTATCGTCGAAGATACCGGAGAGATTTATATCAAAGAACCTCTAAGAGAAGGTATGGTCTATCAGTTCTTTGCTAAAGCATCAGATCGAGTCGAGCCTATGCAGGAATCAATTGTGCCGGTTACCGTTTCTGCTCTGCTTCCCAATCAGGTAGAGCCATACACTAAAGCTCGGATACAGGATCTGTATGTGAAAGAAAACGCAAAAATACCCACTGTTATCACAACACTCGGTGCACAACAGTCAAGTGATCTGAAGTTTACGCTCATTGCCAACGATAACGATCTATCGCTGTTCACCATTGATGCGGACACGGGGCGCCTAACAGCCATTCGTTCGTTAGACCGTGAGGAGTGCGCACGTTACCACGTAGGAATTAGAGCAGAGGCCCGATCCAGCGGTCTCGTATCACTGATCCAGGTCAATGTACACGTGATGGACGATAACGACAATAAACCCCAGTTTGAGTCGACGGCTCAGAATGGCGGCTACTCGGTTCGGGTTGCTGAGAACGTACCCATCGGCAGTAAGATCCTTCGGCTGATGGCAAATGATGCTGACATCGACTCGAATGGTGTCATTACGTATGATTTCTATGAGAGAAATGATCCTGCTGCAGATATCTTTCAGATCGACCCCCAGACAGGCTGGGTAACGAATTTAATTGCACTCGATAGGGAATCTGTGCCGTCGTACAACTTAACGGTCGTGGCTCGCGACAACGGAACGCCGCTTAAACAGTATTCATTGACGACAATTCACATAACCGTCATCGATTACAACGATAATCCTCCGCATTTCCCCAAAGACATGTACGATATTGAGGTTAGTGAAGATGTCCTCGATAACACGGAGATTCTCACGCTGAACATTGAAGATCCAGACGATCCGAAAAGTGTAAGTGAACGAATCAGTATGTATATAACAAACATAATGGAAGTACTTATGCCCACGTTATTTTTCTCTTAATATGGAGCGCTATCTTATCGAAGATTACTGTTGACGCTTATAAATATAATAAATGAAAAAGGTAATGAGCACGAAGCTTACCATAAAGAACCTATGCTATTATTGTTTGAAGTTATGCCCTTTGCCACTCTCCTTTTCAGTGTCTATTCTCACAATAGGCCAACTTTTGTTTACAGCAAACGATGTATTTCTATTTGACATCTGGAAATGACCGGAACCACTTCGGCCTGTCCGACCACGGAGTTTTGTTCGTACGACAAAAGCTTGACCGAGAAAGTCAAGAACACTATATACTTGAGGTAACGGCCAGTGATGGCATCTACATCGCAAAAACGAAGATCAATATTCGTCTTCAAGACGCCAACGATAATGGGCCGGTCTGTCTTCAGTCTGCGTATATTGAACAAGTTCGAGAGGACGTTGCCCCCGGAGCGCTTATACTTACTGTCGTTGCACGTGACTCTGACATAGGACGAAATGCCATACTACGATACTCTTTGCGTGGCAAAGGCCATGAACAGTTTCACATAAATGCTAGCACAGGTTGGTTACCCTAAGTAGTAATTGGATGAAACGCAACTTCCTGTCCAAGAGTATTGGCATCCTTGTTTATTGCAGGTATCGTCTAGTCGGTCGATTTGATGCTTTGTCAATAGCCCGAAGTTTATACATTCACATATAGCGCCTCGATTGCGTACTATACAAACATTAATATTGTTTTTATATGATATTTCAATACGCTAACGGATTTTTCAAATGCTTAACACGACATTTGTACTCGTTAGAAAGTTTAGTTCATGGTTTATTGATGTAATAGGTGCCAATCTCCGTATTGTTTTTTTCTCAGTAAAGACCTAATTAACGCGTTCCGATGATTCCCAGGTGAATTACGCGTCAATAGGGCCCTCGATCGTGAGACCCAGTCGTCATATAGTCTTACAGCGCACGTGCAAGACAGCCAACACATGGAGTGGTCGTGCACGTCCAGCGTGCACATCATGGTCAGCGACGTAAATGACTGCGCACCGCAGTTCACTAAGGATAATTATACTGTTTCGATTTCGGAAGATGCTGAAATAGCCACAGTGGTTATGAAGATCTACGCTGTAGATCGCGATATTGGCATTAATCGCAAAGTATCGTACACGCTTCTTGACAACGCTGGCGGACATTTTGAGATACAAGCAAACACTGGTATCATCCAGCTGATGAAAGCACTCGATCGGGAGACGGTCGACATCTACCGTCTGATCGTTGAGGCCGCTGACCACGGACATCCGCAGATGACTTCCGCGGTGCAGGTCAACGTCGTCGTCCTTGATGTTAACGACAACCCGCCCGAATTCACGCAAAAAATATACCATGCGAATATAAGCGAAATGGCACCGCACGGTACACGCGTCGTGCAGGTCAAAGCATTTAGCCGAGATATTGGCATCAATGCTGAAATCAGCTATAGCTTGGAGAACGCGGAACAATTCGATATCGACCAAGAATCTGGTATCGTTTCCGTAATGCGTGCACTTGACTACGAGACTCAGGCACAATACATGTTGACAGTGGTGGCCAAAGACGGTGGAACTCCGACGCTCAGCTCCACTAGCCTGCTTAACGTCACCATCATCGATTTCAATGATAATAAGCCAACATTCGACAAGATCCGTTACAACTCTGTTATCCGTGAAGACACGAAGGTTGGGGAGAAGATCTTGCAGATACAAGCCACAGACAGCGATAGTGGAGTCAACGGTAAACTGTCGTACGAAATTGTGAACGCAAGCGAATACAGAGAGTTCAACATTGACCCTCGGACTGGCGTAATCGTGTTGCGCAATGCGCTTGATCGCGAACTACAATCCGACTACTATTTTGTGGTCATGGCACGCGATGGTGGCGAATCCGAACTCAACGAGACAGTTGAGGTTTCTGTGGCACTTTCGGATATTAACGATAATGCCCCTCAGTTCGTGAAAGGTGGAAACTATTCGGCGATAATACAAGAGGGTAAACGTGATCAGAAAGTGATCGAAATTCAGGTTACGGACCGCGATACGCCCGCCAACGCCGGACCTTTCACACTCACCATCCTTAATGGAAACTCCAACTTGGACTTTGTTGTTCGGAACATGGCCATCTACACGGCAGAAGCTCTTAACACCGAACGACGTGCCGAATACAATCTACTGATTCAGGTCAGCGACTCCGGAACACCGTCACTAAGCTCAAAGACCAGTGTCCACGTCAAGGTCATTGAAGAGAGCAAATTCCCTCCAGATGTGGACGATCTTCACATTCACGTCACTTCCTACCTGGACGACTTCCCCGGAGGGGTAATCGGAAAACTTCATGCCAGTGACTCCGATCCCTATGACAAGTTGATATACGAACTGGTCGATAAAGAGAACTCTCTATTTTACATCGACAGCGAGGAGGGAACGCTGTCTGCCCAAAATGGTCTGGACGTGGGCTCTTACATCGTCAACTTGAGTGTCAGTGACGCCAAATTTACGACCGAAGCGCAGGCATTTGTTGAAGTGTCCCTGATAACCGAAGAAGCGCTATCTAACGCTGTCATCGTGACCCTTGCGGATGTTACCCCTGAAGACTTCCTTCTCACTTATCAAAAGGGTTTTCAAAATGGACTGAAAATCATGTTCGGTTTGAAGAAGCAGAACGTTCATATCATGAGTATCCAGCCCAGCATAGCTGTCAATGGATCCAACACTATCGAAAAACGATCAGTCGGCAAACGTTCATCGCAAAGAGAAAATCTTGACTTATTATTTGCTCTGCATAAGAATCAACAATACTATAAAGCCTCGTTCGTCACTCAAAAACTCCGCGAGAACCAATCACAAATGGATAAAGAAATCGACAGGAAGATTATTTACATTTCGCAGAATCGCTGCAGACCCGAAATGTGTGCAAATGGTGAATGCTCCGACACCGTTGAACTGGATAGAACTGATCTCCAAAGTATTACCACGGACCGACTAAGCTTTGTATCGCCGCGTCACTACCCAACTCTAGAGTGCATCTGCCAACCAGGCTTTGGTGGGCCCAAATGTGAAACACCTGTTAACGAGTGCTCGAAACATCCATGCGCATCACCAAAGATCTGCATCCCGAGCACGTTGCAAGCTACCGGATACACATGTCAGTGTCCAGAAAACACCGGAGGTCCACTATGCAACGAAACCTGCGCTGAATCCAATATAGACACATGCTACATCGAGCGCCATCCGCTCAACTTTGATGAACGATCGTATGCCCACTACGAACTTAATCACGGCATCGACAAGAGACTTATGTTTAGCGGACGCGTTCGTACCTTTCAACAATCTGGTGTTATCCTTTACGCCGCTGGTCAGAGGGACTATGCCGTTCTAGAAGTGCACAATGGCAAAGTACAGTTCCGCTTCGATTGTGGATCCGGCGAAGGTCTTGTAAGGGTTTCGCACAAAACAATTACGGATGGCCGCTGGCATCACATCATATTAGAGCGGCGCGGCAATTTTGCTCGCGTGTCCGTGGACCGCAAATGGGAAGCTAGCGGCGTCTCACCAGGCAGCCACGACATACTGAACCTTGACAAAAGGAACCAGCTCTTTATCGGCGCCGCTTTAGTCGGCGCGGCACGCGACGAAATGAGGCGTGGTTTCTTTGGCTGTATGGATGATATTAAAGTGAATTCCGTTTCATTACCTCTGCACATGACTGGCTCATCGAACGTCGCCCATCTAAAGAGGTTCGTTAACGTTCAATTCAAGTGCAAGGATCCTCTACCAAATCCAGGGGCATGCGGCACGCAGCCCTGCCATAATGGTGGCACGTGTCTGTCAGGCCTACATTCAGCCAATTACACTTGCGTGTGTATTGAGCCCCGCTTTAAGGGCAGCCACTGCGAGGTCGACACCGATCCGTGTGCCTCGAACCCGTGCTCGTTTAGTACATTATGTTCAAACGTCTTCGATGGCCGAAACAATGACTTCCAGTGCGAGTGTCCACCACAGCTTAGTGGCAAACGATGCGAGTACGGTCAGTACTGCAATCCGAATCCGTGTCAGAACAAGGGCGTCTGCGAAGAAGGAGAAACGGATTTCACGTGCCGCTGTCCTATTGGTTACCGGGGCAATCGCTGTCAGTATGACATCGACGAGTGCTTGCACCATATCTGTGCCCAAGGGGCCACCTGTATCAACTTACTTGGTATGTACATATTATAGATCGCTTCGGAAATAGATTTCAGATTAATAATAATCAGTGAGAGACCACACGTAGATAAATATCATTATTTGTAATAGATTTGCCTATAATTTTTGTTTATCCCTTTATGTACTGCAAACGTATATCGAAAATAAAAACACGAGCTATTTAGTAATGCAGCAGACGTCTTTAGGTAACACAGTTGCCCCCAACTTTAGTGGTATATCAAGTAAAGCATTTTACCCATCAATATGTGGTCTCGGTCTTGAACCCAGATTATATATTTAACAGACATTTTGAAATGATTTGAATTTTCAATATCTCATCCCCTGCACAGTTACGCTTCCCACACGATGGCCAAGATGCCGATGGCGAAGCTGTCCTGGTGTTAAGAGGCTTCAGAATTGAAGGAAACAAAATATTAACGCGTACACTTTCGACGTTTGTCGTGCAAGATCTATGGTCGTGTACTTTAACAGTGGATATGCACGTAATGATATTTACTCTATACTGATTGGTTTTTGGATTGTAGGTGGTTTTGAGTGCGTATGTCCTCCGAACGTGACCGGACCATTTTGCAGTGAGCACCTCCAGCCTCCGCTTATCATCTCTAGCCGACTAAATACCACGGTCGAAGAGCTGGTCGGCATCGTATCCGTAGTTTCATTGGTCTTCCTTCTGGCCCTTTCCACAGTGTGCTTCTTTCGCTTCCAATTCAAGAAGCATCGGCGAATGCATTCGCATTTACAAAGTCATGTTATGCTACATGGTTCCACCGGCGATGCTCTTGAGTATGGTCTAACTTCAACTAATAAGAAGCACAAACAAAAGAAAAGCAAGCGTCAACAGCAGGCAACAACAGGTAGGTTACGAAGAGGCCAATATCGTGCCACTGCAAATAGAAACAAAAAATACTTATTATTGTTCAATGCAAGAATGCCGCACATAGTAGTCGCACCGCGAAGAAACACAAAGAGGGCAAACTTATATATGTCATAGTACAGAGTGATGCCTATTTTACATAGCCTTCTAACGTAAGTGCACACGCATATGTGCATTTCTGGTCGCTTTTATTTTCTAGCTGAACAATGCCAGATGGCCGATCTGCTTCTGGATATTGCGGGCAAGAAACTAGATGGCGGATCGATGATGAACAACCTCGACAAACAGCCCGTCGCTCAACCACTAAATGTCCAGTCGTCAACACTGGGCTCACCGCGACATACACACGCTGATATAGCACTCTGTCAGAGTATGGTAGTAGTGCCCACCACACCGCAATCGATTCTGCGAATGCCCCGCACTGATCTCAATCCACAATACATTGACAAGGAGCAAATGTACTCCGAGGACAAGATCAAGAACTGCACTCTCCCTAACGCTGCAAGCCAGCCGGGCCTTCGCTACGACGATTTGGCGAGCTACAGCTGGGATTACAGTGACCTCACGGCCGAGCAGCACGCGCTCACGTCTAATATTCCCGAGCATGTGCCAGCCATAAATGACGAGGTCAATAGTCTTCTGAGCTCGACAGAGTCTAACTCCCACTCGAACCTCACCGCCCTTTTGCCCCCTATCACCCCGCCTCCACCTACAGGTTTAAGCGATCTTAGTTTTACCACGTCGAGCCCAGTCCAGCTGGGCTTCGAGGATCAGAGCGTACTGTACAACCGCGGCCTGAATGATTATTTGCCCTCGCACGCGCTGTCGCGCGACACGTCTGTCAATTCGACACTTGACGGCGAATTCGTTTCGTACGGTTTTCCGCATACTGGCGGTAAAGGCTTTGTGCTCAATCATACCCAGCATACTACAAGTCTCACCCCCAATGTGGGTGCACTCGGTCAGCCGTCATCGACTGCAAGCGACGGGAGCTCAACGAGCGATGACAACACAGATAACACCGTCGTGCGAAGGGTCAATGTGTGATATATATATAGAAGGACAAAGAAAGGAGGGTAGTATACAAGATAATAAGGAAGTGAGCCTCGTTACAGGTACGTAGAGCCGTTAAAAAGAAAAATACACAGTAATTCGCATGGCTTCCAAGAACGGCCTGCTATAGTCTGCCACCATTTCTACCTCTGTGTTATGCTATTCCTGCTCCGGTTACTTTGCGGGTAACACATCGTAGGTATATAGGCAGGTGCGCAATTGGCACCGGCGCTGCCGGTCCAGTTTTTCTTAGCCCTGTCTCGCTATTCAGTATAATTTGGGATAGGCGAGACTTCAATTTCCCTGTATCAGACAAGAATGATACACTAATGCACCCCGGCTAGGCAAACCGACAGATTTTCGTTGACCGCGCATGCGGGTTGACACCCCTTCCCCTTTTATGTCTCGCAAAAGCTTACCCTATCCAGCAGCACCCGATACGCGTGATCTATCCCAATTTGTTGAGCAGTCTAAACAATATCCCCTGTGCCGAGCAATTCGTCCTACCTTCTCATTAATGATCGTCCTGCGTTAGGCTTACCGCTTATTATTTTGTGCCTGACAAAGATACCCAGCCCTATTACATTCATGCAGCTTAGAACGTTCTGGTCCGACCCGTTTGTGTTTCTTCTCGCTGTAAAGCGAAATCAAGCACAATAAGTAGACACACGAGAAAACTGCGAGAGGCAGATAGAAGCGAATTCGAAGACTGTATAATTGTTGGACAGTATGATATGCGCTTTTTGTATTAAGTCACATAGGAAACTCATGACACTAACGAGGGCAATGAAGATGACGATGGTAAAGTGTGAATATTTAGAAAGAAATATGTTTGAGACAGCGCGGACCGACAGAGAGGTAGATCAACAATTAGAACTAACACAATTGTCTGTTACGACATAATGATGCCCTAAAGTAGTACGGACTCAATATCCCTTAATCACTTGGGTAACAGCACACTGTATACGGTATGCGTTACGCCATACGAACAACTGCACAAAATGGAATGATGAAAGAAGAGAGCGAAATACCGCCTGATACAGATTCATATACAGGAACAAAATTTGAACGCACCTCCAGCTACCTTAGTCGCTAAGAGGAGACCAGCGGGAATGAAGGCAAGCAAGAATGACTGATGATTGATTGATTACGAGCGGAATAGATTGAAAAGCTGATTGACTCAATCAGACTAAGTAAGATCGATTGTTAAGCGCTTGACGACATCGGCTGAACGATTAATAACTGACTTTGTGCTGATTAATCAGACATTGAAATTACTGATTGATCACAGTCTCGAGAGCTTAAGTGATTGCTAAGAAATTCGTGTAAGAATACGAAAAGAAAAAAGGTAACGAATGGTGATAATATCTCACACAGTATGATGACTAGTGTTAATATTCTATAAAATGAACGACGGGTTTCGATCCCTCACAATTGAAGCTTGATTGATTGAAGGGGCGGCACATTGTGATTGGGCAATGTGTTATTGATTGTTAGATTGAACGACCTAATAGGTCGATGCAGGTAGAGACAAGCCAAAGTGTGCAAGCGATGATTTCTGTACAGATTTCTATTTCTAAACAAAAACAAAAAATGTAAACGTTGTTCACCCAGCACAGAGGATATAATAGTAGCCGTAATAACAATAATAATTATTATGATAGCAATATAGACAGGAAGGTCGAATGAAGAAAAACGTCTTGGGAAAAGAGTACCAGGAAAACTATAAGTGACAACCGGCGACAGCTTAGACGCTAGATGTAGGTAAAAGGCTTTCCTGTAAATCCATTTCGATTTGCAATACAAGTTGTTACCGATCGATCAACCAGACGTTAGATAAAATATTAACACTCAGAGCAAACCATGCTTTTTCTGAGATACACGCATCTTTCGAACGTTATTATAGTAAGTGATTAACTAAACGGACCAGTATATCGGCGTAGCTCACTCGATTGTGTTACCGCAGTTGAGATTAATTTTTTTTTTCAGTTGAATTAGTATTTTAATTTATTCGTTATTTTATATTTGTGCTTTCTTTCTTTTTTTTTTTTTTTCTTTAGATATAATCACTACAATTTTCCCTAAGCGTCTTATATAGTATTATCAAGATTTATTTATTACGTAGATATATCTGTCACGAATACTTAGTCTCTTTTCTGTACAAATCAAACTTCTCAATCTCATTTACAGTATGACTACTTTCAATATTCTATTGCATTGTATCATATCATGGTGGTCCGTTTGCTGCTCGTGATCAATCCGCGGGCTGACAACAGTGAGATGCCATGATCAAGCAGAACACCGTAGCCCTATGGCGGTGCCTGTTATCTCCACTATAATCATAGTCGCGTCGTTGTTTTACAATGGGACGAAAACTTTCAGTACGGAAACGAAACGGTAAATGGAGAATGATCATCTCGTCGCCGCGGCGCTAACGAAAAACAAAGGCAACACCTAATTTATCAAATATAATGCCAAAATCCAACTGCTATCAGCGATCCCTACCGTTTTTCACCCAACTTGAATTTATGGAAAATTGACGCGCGGACGCCTACCTTTAGAACATCTTTCATAAACAACAGTTGTTATTATTATTAATCTAACACTGTATATACTTATAAATCTTCATTTTTGTGGCAGAACTCAACCAAAACGTCGTGAACACAAGCAAAAGCACCGTTAACGAGATCAGTATGGCAAAAACAATTATAAAGACACGAGTAATAGGCAAAATCACAGCTAATATAAAAGCTAACGATTACGGTAATCTAAGCGAATTATAATAGTAGCGGAAATGATATGAGACGAAGGCGGCGTGAGTAGGGACGCAATTGTGTGTGTTACGTAGAGAAACAAAACGGTAGAAAGATAGAAAAGAGTGTGTGTAAATAACTTGTATAAATACTTTTGTAAATAAACTGAATAGCAATGAAGAGTAATTACATAACAGCTAATAAAAATAATAAAAAATAAATGATAATAACACTTATACGAAAGAAATATACACCCAAAAACAATGGTTTGAGGTAAAAAAAAACGTAGTAGAGCACATTCTACGAGTGGACATAAATGACAGAATGAGCAAAAAAAGAACACTGATTCATAATGATGAGTAAATGTGTAATTTAAATATAATACTAATATTGATACAGAAATAACGATATTAATAAATCAAATTGAAGTATGGACGACAGGTATTGACGATTACTGAAGAACGAAAATCAACAGAGGATCCGTGTAACCGATGATGGTTACGAAGTCGACAGGGGGCCGGCAAACTTCGACTTTTTGTGTTCAGGAAATGAACAATGTTGATGTTGTACTTTGCTTAAAATATTATTATAACGTAACGAAAATAAAGCGAACGAAATGAAAGAAATAATCATAGAACGACGAAAATCACGTAGAAAACAATGTGTAAATAAAGTACTACCGTTTATTTGAAGTACAAAGCGTGTTTTTATTTGGTGGCATTTTGACCCCCCTCCCCAGTATTTTATACTAATTTTAAAAAGTACTTAGTATTTGTATTATATCCATTATATTACATCCATTGAATTATATCCATTACAGCTCAGTAAATTAACGCTACACATTCAAATTAAATTAACGTATACCAATTTAAACATTACTGTTTCCTAGCTGAGATTTCTGGCAGCGCAATTAGGGTTACAAATGCGCAATTGCTAAGTTAATAATCTTAAAATTTGCGAAAAAATTAAGCAATTTTGAAACTGGTATATTGTAGGTTGATTAGTATAAACTAGTATATTGGTAGATTGATTTAAAATGGCGTTTGGCACCAAATAAGCATAGTAGAAAAATCGATTAAGTATATTGGACTTTGTGTGACGACTTACCATAGAGAATGTGCACTGTCAACCGGTGAGAACCCTTGATCCTTTGCTGAAAACGGGAACAAATTTTATGATTGCGCTTTATGACCTTAAGTATGTAATCATTGTTTCTATACAAACTACGCATCAATATGACACTACTTATAACTTTTAAACTGGGTATCTTTGTGCATAACCCACCGTTTCAAAAACATTCAAGTAAAGTTGAACTTCTGTCAATTTTAACTAAACTTCGAAAAATCGTACCTCGATAGCTACGCATTTACGGCACAAATCCCATTAATTCGATTCTTCTAAAGACACCACTTATTTACAAAGAAAATCAGCGGCTGAATCTGAATTTTGAAGCTAAGGGGGCTTTCGTTATTAGCCCTTTTCTATGCTCTTCTTGTGCAAAATTAGGTCTCAGCCAACCCCGCAGACGGTATTAAATTGGGTATCGATACCTGTCTTTTAGGCTATGGTAAACCCTGTTATGAACTATCAAAATTTACTACTGACTTTCATCGGAAATAAATATTTTTTAGGCTAACCTAAAGTCTATACAACAAAACAAACATTCAGGTTGAAAGCTCTCGAAATCTATGCTATAGATGACCATCAAGAAGAGTGCATCGAACGCATCATCAAGGTTTTGGCCACTGAGATAGTGTCTCTCTGGCACATAGACCATCTTGATATCATTAAAAGTGTCGAGTGAACGAAACCCAGACTAAAGAGATATGGGACCATATACATTTTAATATGTTGGGCATGAAACTGAGTCAAACGGATCGAGAACTTTTTTGGCGCATATGCAACTTAGAACTCTGGATGACGATGTTTCCAGGAAGCCAGTTCTAACACACAAACCTCTTGACGTTCAGTCTGCTTCACAGGACGATGACTGCAAAACTGATTCCTTTGTCTTAATGGAGAAGAATGGGAATTTTTGTTATATAAGCACCACAAATAACAGGGCTCCAGTTCCGGCATACAGTAGATCAGAAACGCCCCTGAATTTATTTTTAAAAGCAGAGAACAGGATGGCTCCATGGGTCTAGAAAGTCTCCGTTCGATGGAAAACAGTGATTTCTTTAGGAAAAATCGACGTTATATGCATTTCGTCATATGGAGAGATAGAAGCTTTTGGTTTAGCCATTTTAGCGGTGGGCTGAAAAGGACTTCCATCCACGCGTCTAGCCGGAGACTGACCTGATGGGGATACTGGCATAACTAATGGACGTAAGAAGATTCTTATTTCAGGCGTTATAGATGATATGGCCGCGATTACATCCGAACAACAAAAAAATAATCAAAACGCTAATTTTTACCTCCACGAAGATGTCGGGTGTCAAAGACTTGACTACGGTAGAAACTCAGGTAGATGCTTAACGTCGAAACAGCTTTTACTTTCCTTTATACCATCAAGGGTCTCTTCCATGGTCCTGAAACAAAGTCAGGTACATCCAAGAAGCTCATTGGTAAGTTTTCCAACAGCTTTCTAACAGAACAGTATGTTTTGAAGATCAGCAGGCTCATGCTAAACTGCAGAGATTCGCTGTCAAAGAGACGTAAATAACTAAAAAAGATTCACACACTTGTTTGCCCTAAGAGACGTTATGGGATCTTACACAGCCGAACAAAAGCTAGCAAACGTTTTACTACCGATAGGTCTAGCTAATGACAAAACGCACTCTAAGAATAAAAAAAAAAAATTTGAAATGGTATTACATCGAAGGAATAAAAGTTCTGAAGTGTCCAAAATACAACACAATGCGAAGGGTCAAATGCCCATTTATAACAGCAGCATAATATCCGCGTGTTTTATCTTACAGTACCCTTATAACGAGCTTTACTGTTTGTTAGAGAGCCAACGTTACCGAACAGAATGAAGAAAATACTGCTATTAAAAAAACTGTAGCCTGTTAAACAAATTTTATTTAGTGTAATAGTCAATAAAAAAAAAAAAACTCATAGTAAATATCGCTTTATTACAACTATTCGTCGCGCATTCAGTGTGTTGAAACAATAAAAAAACTTATTTATTTAAGTGAAGTGTACGTGCATACTTATGAATTGTGAGCTCCACTATTAACTAAATTGTCACGCGTAAGGCGAAAATCGGGCCCGGAATTTGCCTGTAGTACCATTAATATAACTATGAAAAACATTGATCAACGGGAAAATATCGGGGCATATAGCGATAAAAGATAGTAGCATTGAAAGATAATAACAACAGGACGAATCACTATGAATTATAATAAGGGGTAATTCATTAAGGGCATTGCCTTTACTGCAACATAACCGCGTTTGTTTCAACATGATTTGAACGATGTTTATTTTACATGTTTTGATCGTTGATAATCGATGTAAGTTTCCATCATCGCGAGGCATGAACGAAGTGACGAGATTAGCGATGGCGGCCGTTGGAATCGATGCTGTATTGAGTTATGTGGATGAGCACCAAGAGAAATACGTTGACCGCTTAGCTGAGATAGTGGCAATCAAATCAATTTCAGCATGGCGTGAATTTCGTCCAGACGTTATCAAAATAATGAGATGGATGAAAGCAAAGTTAGAAATATACGGAGTCGAGTGCGAATTGAAAGAAATTGGTGAAGAAGCCTTTCCCGATAAGTCTAAAGTTCCTTTACCTCCCGTTTTATTGGGTTCTTTGGGCAATGATCCGGCGAAGAAAACTGTTCTGGTTTACGGACATCTAGACGTTCAGCCAGCCCTAAGAAATGACGGCTGGGAAACTGACCCTTTTGTGTTGACAGAAAAAAACGGAAACCTTTATGGACGTGGGGCCACTGATGACAAGGGCCCGGCTATGGGGTGGCTTAATGCTCTCGAAGCATACCAAAATACGAAGACTTCCCTGCCAGTAAACCTAAAGTTTCTTTTTGAAGGGATGGAAGAATCGGGATCGAAAGGTCTCGCCGATCTTCTCGCAGAAATGAAGAACACTGAATTTTTCAGGAGTGTGGATATTGTTTGCATCTCTGATAGTTATTGGTTAGGGACGAAGAAGCCGTGCATCACCTATGGATTTAGGGGACTGACATACTTCAATGTAAAGGTTGAGTGTGCCGAGAAAGATTTGCATTCCGGCGTCTTTGGGGGGACAGTTTACGAGGCAATGAATGACTTAATTTGGCTATTGTCTCAATTAACTGACGTTAACAATAAGATTCTTATTCCTGGTATTATGGACGACGTCGCTCCTGTAACTCCCGACGAAGAAAAACTCTACAATGAAATTGAGTTTGATTTGGACGCCTACCAGAAAAGTATTGGTTGTGCTAAACTTGTCCATGCTGGAAAAAAGACTGAATGTCTGCAAGCAAGATGGCGCTATCCTTCACTATCGCTTCACGGAATTGAAGGTGCGTTTTATGGTTCAGGGAATAAGACTGTTATTCCAAGAAAGGTTATCGGCAAATTCTCTATCCGTCTTGTTCCCAATCAAGACCCCGAAAAAATCGAAAAACTTGTGATTGACTATTTAAATGAATTGTGGAAGAAGCGTGGATCACCCAACAAACTTGTTGTTACAAATATGCTTAAAGAACGTTCGTGGTTAGTGAGCCCGAGCCATCCATACTTCCAGGCTGGAGTTCGTGCCACTACGAGGGTATATGGAAGCGCACCGGATCTTACTTGTGAAGGTGGTACTATCCCTATTATTTTAAGAATTAAAGAAATTATCGGCAAGAGTGTCATACTGCTACCTATTGGTCAGGGTGATGATGGAGCCCATTCCCAAAAGGAAAAGATTTCGAAAAGAAACTTCATTCAAGGCACGAAGGTTTTGGCTGCGTACCTTCATGAAGTCGCACAGTAATTGTGCCACCTATATCGGCGCCGTCGTTGACTGAATCGAATAGTGATTCTAGGCATAGTGGTTGCAAGCTAGATGTTCCATTAAAAATAATGGCTTTCTAATTTCATTGATCTTGCGGGAAAATTGAAAACACACGGACGGAAAATATTGGCGGCCTTGTTGATTAACTGATGGCAAGGTATCCGCTCCTTGTCGTAGCTTAACTACGGAATTCCCACACTAAAAGTAATCACCTTTGAAAGCAGAGTTCATACGTTTTCAGTACCACGACTAACCTCATTTGTTTGCTATTGGACTGATTTAAGCGAGCAAAATTTTCCACGTATTCAAATGGACATTGATTTGCTTGAGGCTAGCACACGTTTAAAACCTGGCCAAATTACGCCGACCACGTTACGCGAGTCTATAACGCTGAACGAACTCACTTTTAATTGAGTACTTCGGCAATTCGACCTCTGTGTGCAGGTAAGCCTCTCTGTGCACCTTCGTGTTGTATTCATTAGTTTAGAAGACAATACGAGCTGCCCTGCGTCGAGATTACACAATCACTGGAAAAGCTGCCGTTTAGCATATGCAAATTTGATATTTTTTGTTCATTTTTTGATTGTTTATTGCACGATTGATAAGTACGTAAGCTTTTCTGCTTTCCTAGAAAAAAATCCTGGTTGTAGACTTGTGCTGTGTGGAAGTAGCTCAATGGGTTGCCGTTCACGGCAGGACGAAGTTTTAGATCTCCTCCAAGCAGCAGATCACAGGATTGACAGATACAGGTAGAAATGAAGCGGATTGAGGATTACGTTGAAATCACAACACGGCCATGCCGAATACCGCAATTACACGGAAAGCGATAGCCGTTTGGAAACAACCAGTAGTATTGGCTCGTTAGAAACATGCGACACTATATGAGAAATTAGTAGGTACGATAGAAAACAACACAGGGCCCCGAATCGGTTAATTATCTATAGCGTCGAAGATGTGTTACACAAATCCAGACAAGCCCAAACAGCTAATTGTATCTTTTAAAGGAGCTTACGAATGGATTTGGCGGTGATGTCGAAATCGCATTGCTCAGTTTCACTGCCCGTCTGATCGTCAACGGTCCTCTAACATCGTTGGCAAGGATGCAACGAGATGGTTGGATAGGACAGCGCAAGTCGATCCTGACAACAACACGGGTCACCACTCATCAATGAATGGATCACTTGAAGTATAACACAAACATCTATCAATAGTAAACAATAAATACGTATCTGCAACAAAGGAATAGGAAAAAAACAGCGCCACATATCAACACTACAAAATTTACACACACAATGTTCACACAGTAGCGGCAGTAACAACAATAACAATATCACGCGTTGCAATAAAAGCAGTAATAGGTTTTACATTGTACTAGCGCGGCGGCTGTAATTCATAAGGGCGCCGTTCTTCACAACGGATTATTGTATGACGTATCAGTTTCACGTCGATAGTCGATGATCGAACGCAGTCGCGGGAGTATCATTTATAGTATTTTTCCAAATGCAGCCACTTTCTGTGTTCCATCGGGTACTGGATCTCTCTTTCTCCATATACCTCTCTCTCTTTCTTTCTCTCTCCATATACTTTTATGTACATAAACAAGGCTAAACTGGCCGCTGCTGACATTTTATTCAGAGCAGTCCAGCTAAAGCAACTGTTAACCATCGGATCTAATTGATTGTTGTGTACGGATATAGTTTTCCATATCTGAATATATATATATATAAATTTAACAATCGTTCGTTCCTGAAAATTGATCTGACTAGACTGGCGTGTAGATAAACATGCCGCTGAAACAGCTGGAATTGAGCCGAAACGGTGTGATCTATGCGTGAAAGAAAATAACCTTTGGTGATATATTTGATTCCTCTGTCGATCTCAATAATAAAAACCGGTAACCTGTGCGCAGCAACAATAGCTTGATAATGAAAATAGCTGACTATATTAAAAGAAAGGTAAAAGAAATACATGTGATAGTATTTCAATTTTGAGGAATGACTATAAAATTACCGATGTTCATACTCGTGGCTTTCGTTCGGCTATGGCTGCAAAAAACTATTATATGTAAAAGGTTCGGTGCCGTTTTCAGTAGATCGTAGTATAAAATCGCCTCTGAGCATCTATCATTTAGACAAGGAGGCCCCTTCCTGTCTTACACGACTACCGCCATCATCATCTGGCGTCCTTAACATAATTTTACTTTTCATTTGTACAACGATAAAGGTCGGTAATTAATACCCGAACAAGTGATGAGTGAAAATATTGTTTAATGGCATTTATCTTAATTGAGCTATCGACGGAACCGCCTACGAAGCATCCGCAGACAGCGAGCAAATATATCGCCGCCTTTATTAGATAGCCACAGTAGTACGACATGTACGTCCCTGATCGAACAGACCTAAGTGGAGCATTCGGTTGTCCTATCTGACGACTTTTTTGTTGTCCTTTCTTGTCGCCGATCGTTGATGACGCTCTTTCTACCTGTACCCGTATCCTATGTGACCGGCTATTGGGGTCGACACTGAGCCCCCAGCCTCTATTGGCTTTCAGATTCCTTTATCGTCACACATTCTTGTATTCAATTATCCATAGGCCTGTCGTGTTTCCTGCCGATAAGGTAAAATCACCGGCCGTCTTTGCGATTATGTTATTGTCGTAAATATCACTCTGTTTTTCTCGCTTTTGCAAGATGCTCTCTGTTTGTAATGTTGATAGCGTAATGCGCTAGTGAAAAGTTGTCTTAGTAATAGAAAAAAAATTAACGGGGAAATCCAAGTTCTGCTACAATACCGTGAAATAGTTCCATCGCGCAATTTCCCCTTTGCGCTCCATATGCATCCCGCCTTGATAAATTGGCCTCTTGATTATAGGAGACGAATAGCTTAAAATCATGATTTTCTGCAGCAGTGCATATTAGAAATGCTATGCCAATGACTTCTATCGATGTCGTGCATTTTTTTTGGTATCCAGCTACATGCCAGCCGAATTGCTAGACGGTGCAGGGATATTGTCATAATGTTATTACAACAATCGCCCGCGCACCACCTAGATGGCCTGGATCATAAGGGATTTCAATATACAGATATATTTATATATATGGTAAATATATATATGGTATATATATACCATATAAATATGGTAGTAATAATACTACTTCTAATAATAACAATAGTGGGCATTGGCTGGCCTATTGACAAATAACTTGGTATTTGCCAACGCTGTGATGTTGTTGTCGTGTATCCGTGCATTTACCCTTTTTCTCATTGTAATTGTCGATGAATATATGCTTCGCGTGCGTTTAACTCATTAATAAACTTCAATAACTATCACGCGTGATCAGATTTCGGCTCAGAGGCAGTCGTAATACGGCGGTATGGGAGTCGAACGGTGTGGCGTCACAATATCGTCAGAAGGCGGCAGAGCCATCAGGTCTGTGTTGGCGGACGTACGTTTGCCTGCCAACTATCTGCTGATGTTTCATTGACATTGATGCTTCGGCTTTTGGATGCTATAACTAAGAATAGCGATTGTCATTATAATTTGTTAGTACGAACGTTAATTATTAGTGTTGTTATCTTGAGCGATTTTTTGTGATCTATTTATACAGACGCTTCGTAAGAAGTGGACGCGACCCATAGGCGCAGTCACAAAAGCAACTAGGAGAAGGAACTAGATTACGTTGTTGAGGTTGTAGGGTGGCGGTCTGGACAGAAGGGCGTCCGACAGCCCGAGCAAACGAAATGAGGCACCGTGTATGTTTCATTGGTGTTAAGTTTTCATGGCACGTTATATTAGTAAGCTGGGCTGGTGCAACATGCATTTGAATAAATGTTCGAGTCGTTCTTACCCGTAATTGTATGGATGGATAAATGTATATATGTGTGCGGATGTATATGAGTGATTGCGAGGCGGCGTTTTTCTTCGCATCTGTATAGTAGGCCTTTAAAGGATGCCACGAGTAGAAGAAGTTTCGTTACATGGAAGTCCAAACGATGCGATAGAAGAACATATATATATTCAATCGAAACCAAGCTCCGACCAGTACGCTTATAGAACGCGGAGGATAGTTGCGCTTAGTAAATATAAATTTGTTCAAATTCTGTTCTGGTGACTTTTGGTTGCGAAATGTTTTCATTACTTGAAAGTTATCGTGCAGTAAAATGGGTCCTCTTGCACGATGACCGCAAATGTATGAGTTTAGACCCAAAAAAAAAATGTAAGGTTAGACAAGTTTTTATTGCGAGATTTTGCTCCAAAAACGATAGTAGCGTATTCTATGAAGTAACCCAATTTTACTGTTATATGTACGTGCTCAATTTGCTGTTTCATAAACAGGATAACCGAAATGCATTGCCTGGTCAACTAGACCTCTACATTGATTGGGTAGTCTTCTATTCAGGCGTCCAAAAGCGTCTTTTTATACAACTAAACACTTCTAGTTCGAAAAGAGGTGTCTAGACAATTTTGTGGAAATATAACGAAAATAGGATTTTACAATATCATATGAATGAATACGTCTGGCAATGTTACGTCAGATCCCGGGCCGCATAGATCCGGCAGCGAAAGAATCTACTCCTGAATAAATTTCTTTGAAATTCCGGCTTTCGACATTCGCGACCCATTCCGACGAGCTACATACTACAATGCGACGTTTATGACCTCTAATAAAGAACCAAACCTCCGCGAACGCACTTCAAACTGCTGCCGATAGCAAAAGCAGGGCTGGAAATTCGTTCGAGATTCGATTAGTAAATACATGAATCCGCAAGGCTTTCAATAACAACCATAAACTTGAAGGAAATATCGAGCTATTCTAAAAGCAATTTCGTGTGTGTGCGATGTACATATATAGTCTACTCGTATACTGTATATCTAATGCACTGCATTCAAAGTACATTAATTAGGATAATTTCAAATATATTATTAAACAGTTATAAAAATTATATAAATATCATGTAAATTGGAACGTTATGAATGTCAATGACAATTCGTCTGGGGATGCAAATACACACAGGCGCTTTATTGCAACCGCGATACGGATACAACAACTTGCGTGAGTGTTTTATTGTGTCATTATCAGAGCTGAAACCAGAGACCTAAGCGTTTTTTCACCAAAATACTTCTTTGGCTGATAAAGTCGGAATGGTATAAATACATGGTAGCAATAAGTATGCACTGCCATTGCCTAACTTTAATCGGCCACCGTAACCTTTACCCGAAAAAAGCCAAAGGTCACTGGTTCAAACTCAGCCAGCGACATGGTACACGACAGGCGTAACTAAATAAAGAAATAGCTTCTTGTGGCCCTTGACGGCGTCGGTATCAGTTTGCTGAAATAGATCTGTCTCAACCTAGGCTATCTCCGACTGCCTTTCGAACATCCAAGATCCCCTAACGTACGCTTTGCATATAAATTATGCCATACGTAATGCTTCTGTCTTTATGCATGGAGGCGATTTACGTCGGTGGTAAGGAAGGTGACAAGCAGATCGTCCGCTTTAACAAGACGCTTTGGAAGAATCTTTAATAGAGTCGGCTAATATCAATCGGAAACCGCGTATCGCGAAATGTATACTTACGTTTTAGCCATGCAAACTCGAATTATGTGCCATTGGGGGTCTTTACCTCCAGATCTGAATACACTATAGTTCTATTTGCAGCTTAGGGAATTCACTACGGGGTTAGCCTCAAATACGTATGTGACTGATGTAATTTGAGGATTTCTCGCTGCTTTGGCATAAAGTGTGGCTTCTTCCATTAATAACACTTGTATTTATAAGCGGACACAGGACCAGCAGCTCTGGCTTTGTTTAGCCAAGAGGCCAAAAGGTAGCTGTTCAAGAAACCGAGCCGATATAAATTTATACGCTAGATTATTCAAAAGTGTGTCTGTGTATATGCGGAACCTTTAATAATATATACAGCGCCGATATAATGGTCCAGTTACCGTACCACTGAAAAAAATACAAGACAGCTATGCAAGGCAAACCGCCTTATAGTGTCGATGAGGCAATAAAAGCCTGCCTTCTCTATGCGAAAAATCAGACGATATGCCACAGACAGATAAATGTTCACTGTTATTGAAAAGAACCTGTTAGGCCTACAAATAGCAAAATTTGATACGATAGAAGTGTTGGACTCACAGAAGCACTTCACGAAGTCCATTGCCAAAATGTGTAGATATAATGATTTTACGTGGTAGGTTAGTTACAATAACAATCATACTACTGTGGTATGACTATGACCACCGTACATACAAACCTGTCAAATGTTTAAGCTTCAAAAAAGCACTATTTTCTCATGTGTATGTGTGTGTGTGTGACTTTACAGAGTAAAAGCTATCCCTAGTAAACTATTCTATAATCTAAGAAATTTCTATCGGCGTTCAAAAGATAGACCTCAGTGACGAGTTCAGAGTAATGTTTTAGGCGTCCGCTTTATGATATATCAAATAACTGCTATACAGGTCTTCATTTAATCTAAAGTTACACTAATATTTTCATTTATGCAACTTTGCAACAATGTATCGCTTGCATGTTTCATTTAATCACAGATTGTCTTGAGCTACGTCAAAATTCAGGACAATATTCATGGAGTTACAACGTACTTTTCTACAAGGGCTATTTAAATTATTACAGTAACACACGCATAGCACGGACATACAGTATGTACGTGTGTCACAGCTTTAACCAACTAATTAACGTGAGAACGATACACTACAATTAGCGGAAATCACACGATGGGTGACCAGACGGCTACCGACAAATGTCGCAGTCGCCTCTAGAGATGCCACCTGGTTTAGCTTAACGTCCGCCCCGCTATCCAGACAATGTATTGACAATATGACTTTTATAGAAATGCGCCTTCTTCACTTGCTAGTCACAGTCGCTATGCTATGACAGATTACACTACATTTACGCCACTACTACGATCGTGGTTATAGAACTGAAAAGGAAAAAGCGAACGAAGCTAAAAGGACGATGGCGATCAAGTGTAGGAGAATAACTTGTGATAATGCTGTCGCTATTCTAGCAAAAAGGGAACGACAATACCAAAATGCATACACTGGCCAGTGAATTACGTACATAAACAGACACACATCGTCGGGCAGATGCAGGACACGCAGGTCGCGAAATAGTCGCCCCATGTAATGTCGTATCGCCATATCGCCCTAGTATCTTTGGGGTTAGCAATTTCGCGTAGCCGGTTGTCGTTGCCGCCGTCTATGATATGGTTGTTTTTACTGCCAATGTCGTGTTTCGGTTTCCGGCCAAAATCGAACCAGTCGTCGGAGTTGGCCATCCAAAGCATCGAACAGGTCGATCAGTCAGCAGCTAACTAAATGCAAGACCACTCAGGAAAGCAAAAATAGACTGAGTAGAAGCAAAAGCGGACAACAAAAAGAATGAAGCGCAATCGAGAAATGTCACATTTGCATAAAGTTGCTTATCTCATCGGATGGACTGACGTTACTCATCTCGTTACGCCCGTTTATCAGTGTGCTTACATAAGTTAGTGTCTGTACGCGTGTGCGTGCGAGTGTTTGAGCCTGTCTCTGCGTTTTTGTACTTCATAACATGGCCTGCACACAAAGGCACAGACATGCATAAACACCAGTAGCGAAAACATGAATGTCCAGTACGACTGCGACTGTCACTGTTATTGGCATCCCAAAGCCGCGGCTGCGGTGGCTTGTCGGCATGTTAATCCCTAAAGAAGATGCGTCATGACCACTATATCGTGTTGTTGTCATCGGTAGATGCTACCGGCGGCCGGGCTGAACAACCGCTCGGATGCCCTTTTTGTCGTTAGTCCCGTTTCAATTTCTTTTAGACTTGCTATAGCTTTCCTTTATCTTTTTGTTCTACTTCATTGGTGCTGACTTCACAGTTAGCGGTTCTCTCGCCGCCGTACTACCAGCTGTGCACGTCTGCTAACCTAGACCAACGGCGCCGCTGTTTCTGCTACAGAGCCATAGAAAACCGCTCGAATTGCGTATGATGCTGGAATATCTCCGGTGAGCCCTATTGTAAGACGACTAGACGACAGGGAGGTGGGGATGAGGCGAGCAAAGTGGAGCGCTTGCCGGAAAGAAAGGGAGGCGCAGAAAGCGAGGTGCCGACCCTATGGACTCTTAGCTGGACAACAATAGCAACGATGAATGGACTACGGATGTTCTGTGATGCTGTTGCTGAGGCTGACATTATTGTTGGTACTGTTACGTGACGGACGTGTGTGTGTATTTGTCCGATCCAAGGTAATTACAGCGGTGAGATGGTCGCGGATTCGTCGGGGGGCAGGGGTAAGAAGCTGCCATATAAATTGGTGATCGCGCAACGTCGCAACCGCATTGCACCGTGTGTCCATCGTCGTGTGTATTAAACGTGTGCAGGATCCAGCGTCCTCTGTCGTTATTGTGGTGAAGTGAACTTTGTGATTCGTGTTATCATCGTTGAGGTTTCGCTTGATCGTCTCTGGTTTGTTGCTGTTAACGTTAGTATCTTGTGAATGTAGTTTTTGCACCTTTTGCCAGCGCATGTCCTCTGACTATTAACGTTACGTGTGTCATTGTGTGCGCGTATGTGTATAAGTGCCTTTTGCACAACCACTTACCTTATTGGCACTCTGATCAAAAAACTATGCAAAACATGCACTCCTGCACGATGGTCCCATATGTTGTCGTGCTAGCAGTATGTGTAGTCGTCATTTCAGCAGGTGCAATTGCTGACATTAAATATAGCCTCGGTAGTGGAAAAATGGAGGGCCTTAGTAAAGGTAGCCGCTTTGGAGAATGGGAGGCAATCAGCGACGGAGGGGGTGCTGATCTAAATTCTATTCGCCACTTTGAGAGTGGATTGGCTTGGAACAGAGGTATAGACCTCGGGAGTTATGATGAAGGTCACGATAGTTACAGCGGTGGCAATCACGGAGGTTACAGCGATGGGGGTAATGGAGTCCATGGAGGCTATAGCGACTTCGACGCTTTTGGAGGATTCTACTTGGGCGGTGTTGGAGGAGGACATTCGTTGGAGAACGAACTGGCAGCTCACGAAGATCAGGCGGCTCTTTCGGCTGTAGGTCTTGCAAACCTGTTAACGGGCGGTGGTCTAGGTGGAGGGCATGCTCATTTGGCAAGCAGCGGTAGCACATCATACATGATATCAGGGCCCACGCAAGAAATTAAATCACTACACAAGATTCAAACGACTAGCGAAGGTGGACACGTAATATCGCGGATCGCAGGACACGAGGCAGGTGGTAAGGCCATCATCCTGATTAAGCAACCAGTCATTGCTTCACTTCACGAAGGCGGACACGGTTGGCATTAAGTAGACAATTTCGTAGATCGATCAGATGTAGGCACAACATAAACCATCGCTTTTCCCATCAAGTTCCTTATATAGAAAAAGCATTCTGCACTATCTTGTATATATATATCTGTAAATAAATGTTGCATGTTAGTCCAAATACTGCTGAGGTTTTTCTTCCAATTTACACAAGTATTGAAAACCGCATGACACAAGTGTTCATTTTTGTCACCTTTAAAAAAAATAAAGAGAAATAGGAACAGGTTATTATATTCGGTAAACCCTTCTCGGTGTTGACGAATAAATCAGTTGATCTTTGCCATCACCCATTCAAGCTAGAGTAGGACGCTACTTACTACTGCACTGATTTAGAAATAAGATACCTTTGTCTATTAAAATTATACTAAAGATTTACCAATAGTAGCTATAAACAGAATCTCATCAGAAGGAACTAAAAACCGTGAATGTGATACTCATTTAATTAAATCGAATTAGTAAAACTTACTAATCATATACAAACAATAACAGTGGAAATAATGATAAATTGTACATTTGTACAATTTTGCTCGTCATACATACATGTACAATATGTACATAACTGTATGACGAGCTGCTCTTAACGCTCTAGTGCAATAAACGTTTTAACCCAGAAAAAATTGCGCCGATAGTAGGCGCTTGAAAGTTTGCGCACATAATGCACCTTGTGAATATCTTATATCTTGAAACCTATAAAGTGAGACTGGTGGGCTACGATAGCTTATTTCGTTTGATTTGTTTTATTTACGGAGATCAATATAGATGACTCATATGGTCCGATAAAGAAGTATTTGTAGTAAATCGGCCTGCCCAAATCTGTGCAACTCCAGCGGCAACTCCTCGGTACATGATTATAACTTTTTCCATGTAGTTATCCTTTTATTTTGTACTTTTTATTCCAGTTCTTTTTACAATTCTGGTTATATCAGCTGATCTATCTCTATGTAGCAGCGTAAGTTGGCGAGTAACAAGTGGGTAAAAAAAAACAAGTTAGCAATAACTAAATAAGTATGGTTCTTCTCTTAACTTTTGTGAATTTATTATCAAATAGAACGGTAACCATGCTTTCCACGGCACGCGCGTGCAAGATAAAAAGATCTAGAAAAAAAAAACAATTACTGTTCACAGTGACAATGTCACGTTCTTTTACATACTTGTACAACCCTCGTGCACAAACCACGTGCGACATACATAGATGCCATGTATATGCCGATCTCTACCGGGATGTCGAATAGAGAAAAAACAACTAATATCATCGATGTGGGCATGCTCGACTAATGGGAAAACGAAGCGGCTTGTACTAAAGACAACAGTATTCATTACAGCGGCAAATTCACGACCATCTTGAGTCAGAAACGATATGTTTCTTTTGCATGTTGTCGGCTGCTAAATCGTAGCAGTAATAATTGGTTATGTGCAAAAACAAATTCAAAGTATATCGGTAAACGAAACATATCGAACGAAATATAATTAACCATAGCTGGTATTATTTTCTAACCGAATATGCCAGTATATCGCGTAACTTGCTCAAATGATAGGGCTGACACAGTGCACCTCAGCATGTTCTACAGTACCGCTATTTGGTAATTTTAGAAAAAAGAAACAGTGAGTGAGCAGTAGAATGAATTGGTCGATTCATTCGTATAGAAATGGATAGATAGCTGCTTTACGTATTGCAGATAGATTATGACATTATTACATATTAGATATGACATTATAGAACAGACTGCTTTCTCGCGCGTAATTTCACGCGTTGTACGTTTTCATGATGACGACTGGATAGCGTGTTGATGTTAGCTCATAAGTTATTATCGGCAGCGTCGAACCTTTGTTCCGTCACACACAATTCATCAGATTTGGCAGACGCATACAAGTGCAAGTGCCATCTTGCTTTCTAACGTTATTGAACAAATTCAAAGGTTGAGCGGTTAGCAATGATGGTGACCCAGTTAAGTAACTGTATTGTTAATTTGTACTATATAAACGAACCGCAATTAAGTGGTTGGCCCTCTAGTGTCTAGTCCGAATTATGTAGCTGACAAAAGTAAATAATTAGGTCGTTAGCGGACCTCCTGTATGCGTTTGCCACAATCTGAAGGGTGACCTAATCAGGAAAATTGATAATAGCAGTACTGGTTCCATTTTCCTTATGCAGCTCATCCTTATTGTAGGCTGAGCAATTTGTACTGTGAAATAGCAAGTCGTAAGCTGGTGTGCAAATCATGCTTTGCACTAGACTGGATATGGCTTCTCAAACATGCTTCGGGAGTCGTATAACTTCAAGCTTAAAGTTGAACCGCGGGACATAAGGTGGCACAAATACTGTTGATACATAATTAAATGATGAACAGATATTTATCTACAAAGATAATCTAATTGCAACAATTATATTGTAGAATCTAGATGAAAGTCTAACTCTTATTTACTTTGGTTGTGCGACACGGAACTACGAGATTTGATAGCTCTGAAAATGATTCTTGATAACGACATCTGAGGGCGGCGTGGACTGGGTGACGAATGCGCATTGCTTTGGGTGCATCGTCATTATAGCCATGAGCATACGGCCGTCGCTGGTTTACATTTCGACTTTAGCAAATAATTACTATAACAAGTTGTTATCATGCCTTTTTATAAAGAGAACCTACACGGTGAGTTTTTTTTAGGTCCAGTAAGATTCGTCTAAAGTAGCGCCTAATCATTTACATAACGAGCGCCAAAAGAAAAAGAACACGGATTAGCCAATCTACTACAAGCAGTAGCGACATCTTACGTAGTGTCATGATGTTGTGATTCGACTAGCTAAAAGTCGCCTTTGGCAGGGTACTGGTCTGTTGTACGGGGTTAACAGCGGGTTAGCATTCTTGAAAACTCGATTTGAAGCAAAGCTTCTAGTGTGCCTGCAACTCTAACTTAAGTAGGGATAAATGTTTCTGAATCATTCATTAATTAATTTACACAGAATTGCCTGATTAAACAATTATCACAGGATACCAGCTTGCTGATGGGGCTTTTAGGCGCATCATTTCTCTCGTTGCATTTCAACATAAAGTAAAATATATTTTAGGAACCGTTAGTCGCAAGAGTGTATTCAGCGCCGTTTGAATTTGCTCTTTCCGCTAATTTAGCGGTAGCAGGACAGTAGACCGCCAAGCTGGGGAAACCGCGCCGAACATTACGCCCCCAGCTGTTGGGAGGCATACGCTAGTGGCTGAATTATTAAAAATCCCAACAAATGCTTCTTAAACTGAAACAAACCTAGCGAGTAACTTTTTGGATTAAAATAGACTCTACAATGTAACTGGTGTCAACTTGGAATTCTCTGTTAACTTTATCGACTGCATAAATGAATACCGGTTGGTGCAGGACAATATAGAACGCTATTTTTTTTTCTATCGAAGTAACAAACGCGTGTGGTTGCTCACTACTTGTGGCCGGCAGAACTGAGAAAGGTCACGACGTCTTCCCACTCAGCTAGTCCGGATCATTCGATTTAATTTAATGTCACCTAGACGCGCACTCGTAATTATATGATGACAATATTGATAGCTTTTTTCTTCATAATTCTTGCAATTTTAAGGAAACTTTAGTTTTTGTCCATAGCAATCACATTATATAACGAACTTTTGAAGTTAAATTGAAGAAAATTCTCGCTCAATTTATTGATTTGCTTTAGCCGATTATCAGCTAATATCAGTAGTATCTAAACGACCGTAGATTTGGAAAAATTTGCTGTGCCTAATAATCGAACCCAGAACTAACCAAGTTACTTACTTCACGTAGCTACGCAACATTCGAGCTAGTTTTCGACTTGTGTGTATGTGTTATAAACAGCCGAGAACAAAAGAAAAGAATTTCTTCCTATATAAAAAGGTTAGTAATTCAAATATGGCCCCGCAATCATACAATTTTATTTCAGGTAGCTACAAATAAGATTGCTGGGGCATAATGGTTACGTAACTTGCCGCAATATTCATTCTTATATTTGCTTCCTTTTATGAATCTTAAATACTGCACGGTCCTAGCACTTAACTATGCATCGCTATCTAAATTAACAAGCCATGTTGCCACAAAGGACACAGTAGATGGCAAGTGGAATGACTAAAAAGGCGCTTAAATAATTTAGGTTACAGAGTTCTGCTTACAAATCAATGGCTGCCGTTTTGCTGAATTTGTTCAAGCTTACACTACGTCTATGCATCAGCCTGCTTGTCAGTTCATATAGAAACTTTACCATTGGTAAGATAGTCCGTGTCTTTCTATTCCTCATCAGCCTGCGTAGTTCGTTACACCTCTTTGTTGTTACCACCAGTAGCCACCCGTATTGTGCTGCGTACCAGGTCGGCGTCGAACTTAAAGAATACCTGGGAAATGTCAACCGTGCAGTGCCCAAGTTTCGCCTACTATGGGAAGGGATCGACGACATTCTGGGACAATTTACTGAAGCATGCTTCGTTTATGGAAACTGCATAAGTTCGAATGTAAGTGTTAAATCTGTTGGAATTTATATACTTGGGATTTGAAATTCAGTTGATATTAAGTCAAAGTTGAGCTAGTAGACATGATGCGATCTTATTTAAATGGGATGGATGGCTTCACGAGATCCTGTTAATTTATGAAATATAGTTTTTTTAGCGGTGGAAGGGGAGCTTTTTTTAGAATAAACTTTACATATTGGAAAGAAAAGATAATAAATGTATTTGTCAACGATATTTAATTTTATTAAGTTGTGACTGGCCTTTATATTATTAGGCCAACGATTTTTGTCTTATTTAGAGTATTTTCTAATTTTTTTTTAAACTTGTTTCTTAACTATAAAGTATGCTTCGCCCTAATTGGATTCATGGCTTAGTTCAATTCAGACGCCAGCTTGGATAGAAAATATGTATACACATGTATAATGTGAGCTCAAGTGTTAACCGTAGCTAAATAATTCTAACCGAAACCCTTCAAGTTCAGGATCAGTTCACCGAATTCTCATTAACAGCACCCAAAAGCATGAGATAGAAATGCATTGTAAATGACAACGCGATTATTGCTCTGTATTGCTGTGTTGTGCTTATTACTATTAAGGTTTCGTCGGACATCGATTTCAAAAGGAATTGTCAACTTGTCGCTAAGGGGTCTTTTATTTCGCTCGGGTATCTGACGGCAGCCTTCGCCCAGCCGGTGTCAATGCTTGCCGATCAAGTAGAAAAATATGCTTCAGCGTTTGTGCTAAAGGCAGATCTAATCGAGAAAATGTGGTGTCACCTCGTCATCAAGTTTATGCCGGACATGACCCGTCGAACTGATGACACTGTGACAATGTTGACAGGACGAAAATCATCGGTATTAACTGCGCATCGGCCGCACAGCTCCAAACAAACCTCGGTTCAATCCTTGTAACGTTTTAACTATTGCTCCCAAAGGAAAAAGCTAAGTATGGTAGGCTAGAAACTCCTCGTCACTTCTTTTCTGGGACCCGTACAACTTTATACGTAGAATTTTGACTAACTGCTAAAGCCCGAAATAATTATGATATAAAGAATTATTATGAAATGGATTGTGGTGGTAGAGTGTAAAGTGTTTATAGTGGCTTCTAGTGAACGTTATGTGCGTAGCTTAACAAGTTGTATACCTGGCACATTGCTGAAAGATGGCCGACAAATATTTTGAAGACAGTTGGGCACATCGTTGTCTGCAATACGGCCAACAAAGTTCATTGTACGTATTTGTAATTGCTTGTGATATGGAAATAATACCATACGACAACTAATAAAACAACTTCCATATAGGCGCGACCGTATGTATTTTTTGAGAATTCATGTACATCTCTATGTTATCAAATATATCTTTAGATTTTGTGAAATACTATTCGATTTTACTTATACGTCTAGAGTAACAGATACCTAGAAATTTTTGTAATTTTAAAGTCGTCATATATAAAGTATAGCGAAAAGCATACAGGACATTGTGTGCCTTGATGGAAGACATACAATCAGCCAACATTTACAAAAATAATTTCCTTACTTTACATTAGTCCTAATGAAAAATACTATTAAATGAAACTACCAAAAAAATATCATAATCTTATATGAGGACGTTATTGATTAGGATAGATGCGGTGCACTTTGGAAACACACAAGCAAAGATTGCGCGAAATGAGCAAACAACTGTTGTTTGTATTTATTTTACTTAAAAATTTTGTAACCTATAAACAAAAACGATACATTGAGATATAAAAATATTATTTATTATTATTTGCTTATTTCTTCTAGTTCTCTTATAATTGTTTGAAAAATAAGTCAAAAAAGAACGTTAACAATAACCATTGTGACGTCAGTATCTCCATGTGCCGAAGGGAAACATAAATGCGGGATGTCAAGATAGCGAACTCTTGAGCAATTCCTGCAGGAGCATGCGGGCAAAGAGAACAGCACAAGGAGTAAACATAACATCTGATTAGCTTGTAGGTTAGTAACATCTCGTTAGTATCTTCAAATTGTTACAACCAAGTCTATTTTCTTTAGGTTGCAGAGACGATCAGTTCATCCTTGACTTTTATTGGTAGATATTTTTTATTTACCTCATATTTAACACCCCTTAAACATAGTTTCATTGATTGAACGTTCGTATTACGGCACTTAATAGGAATATTTTGTTAATCCTTATCGTTATCTCAATATTTCTTTCCATATAAGCCGTCTATAGGATCGACGTACTAATCTGTAAGTAACAGTAGCCGTGCAAGCAGCAACAATTCATGGAGATCGTATTAAATCGTCGCAGTTCGTAGAACCTTATCTGTAAATGACATTAATCATCATCCAGTAAGACCTGTCCTTTTCGTTAATCGACGGTATAAGCCTACAAAACACTGTTACATTTTCTCTGTCATTCAGATCTTTTATAGCTGCAGGCATATTAGGAAATAGTGGCTCTATAAAAATATCGTATTTGACCATATGCTCATCGCTGGCTAATATACAACCGTCCGGCAGCCCTTTGCTTTTGTTGCGTCGTCGGTTCGAAATCTTAGGTCACCAATCCAATATCGCCCTCACATTGACCTTCGCATCGCATAGCTTATCCTAGAAAATTCAGCGTAACCAAAATCAAGATTTGTTTAATAATACTAGATTCGAAGCTTCATGTAAAAGGCTGTGCTTTTTTTGGTCTGATGAAAACAAAAACAAATTTGAAATTGATGGTTAAGGAACTTTCATTCGCGAACTATAACAGTCGAAAAAAATGTTTTAAAATCGAGTTTACAGCAGATACTAATTGGGTCGTTTACGGAAAACACCCACCGGTGCAGTGAAGTCGAACTCCATGTATATTGTGGTATCTTCTATGAGTTCACACTTGCCACACTCATTGTGAGCATCTCATCTGTTTACCATCAACAAAGTAACTTTACCTGAAATGCGCATTTTGATTAAATTTGCTTCACTAGATATTTTGCATTGTCATAGGTTAAGATAAGTAGAGTAGGTGGAAAAAAACTTACATGACGATAGGTACAATAGTTAAAAAGCTCTAGAGCATCTGTGTAAATCAGTACAGTAAAAATCTATGCCAAAATTGAACACCTTCATTTGTCACAAAATCAAGGTGGTCGTAACTGCTAGATGAGCAGTACCATCCATCAAATGGATCTCAGCGTGCTAAGCATAATGGTGATAAAGCAGGTTTTAGGCGCAATTTTGAGATATTCCGTACCTGATATTTTATTTTCTATGCCATTTTTAAGGACGAGAACGAGAAATTTCTTCGAATAAGAACATATTGAACATATTTCCTTTTTAAATCGCATTTTTGTTTTGTAGATTTCTTTTCCTAATATGTTCTAGGTAGTCGATTCCTGTTAATTCTAGAAATAGTTATAAAGCTTAGGTGATGATATGTTAACGAAATCATACGAGGTAAAAAAAAGACTAGAAGACATTGGTTGTCGAGGTGGGCTAAAGGTACTGGCCGCATCTTTCTCTCTACGGCATTTCAAATTTATTAGGAGCGAGATTGTGCTTTATGTAGTGATTTGGAAGCGGTCTTTATTAGAAGTTTTGTTAGGTTCATGTAGATGATTTATGGAAAAAGCCATGTTTGGTTCCGAACAAGGCGAAAAACAAAGTATAAAATATCGAATGCTCAAAATCCCGAATACAAGTGAGAAGGCGCTTAATTTATTTACCATCAGACTCAGCGCCCACGCACCTACTTAACGTATTCTACTGCTGGTCGGACACGTAGTTGAAACCCATCTTGTTTCTCCGCGCAGTCGAACATCGTTCGCAAATAGGACTGCAATCGAATGTCTTTATGCGCACGTGTACAGATTGAAATAAACAAACAAACAAGCCATGAAATCGGTTTACACATTTCAAAGTATACAGCCGTATGTGGTACTTGCTACCGTCTTCATACTGGTAAGATATAGCTGGTCTAACCTAACCTGTATTATGTTATTGTACCTTAGTAAATCACGAACTTGCTGGGTAACGGTTGGTCGCATTATGATTCAGCTATGATATGATGAGTATCTGACTGATCACTCAGATCTGATGAGTATCTGATTGAGAACTGAAGACCCTTACTTACTGGGACCGATAACCCAACTGTTTACGAACTAGATACTCTCCTATTCTGCACACTTTGATTGTACTCTGTTGTTAGTCTGCAATAGATCCGCAGAAGCACTAGTTAGAAGTTGAGGTTTGGCTTTGACAGAAAAAATAGTTCAGCATGAAAATTTCCCAAATTTCTAACTGAAAATTTGCTATTGTAGTATAGGCCTGGACACTAAACTTCCCGGTCGGGATTGGTTAAAGAACCAAAGTTCATTGTTTCGTAATGCACAAATGATCGGATTTTTTATCAAAATGCTGACCTTGAACCTGTTTTAGTGCCCGATTTAAAAGAAATGTGCACATATAATCTACAAGTAAGTAGGTTCTAAGTGTAATGGCAATCACACACTTTCAGCCTAGACGATAGATTTTCCTTTCGCACGCCGTTGAAATTTGTTAAGACTAAAAGATGTACACCGATCGTTTAATACAAATCTTTGGGATTATGAATATAGGATTTTCGATTGCAAGTCTGATGCAGTGTTAATGTAGATCTGGTTATGAGGCTCAGAACTTTAAGATATGCGCAGGTAGCTTTATAGAAGAAGAGTGATCGCTATTAAATTCGATCGTGCTAGTTTATCAAATCCCTCGAAGACGAATTTTTTTTAACATACGAGAGAAAACGTGGACAGTGTCTTCATGTTCGTGAGCTGAGTCTTTCATAACACTCCATAATACAGAAAAACTTTGCCGGCTAACGTAACACAAAAATACGACTATTTACCACTCCAGTTGTCAAATCCTAAAAAGTCGTATAAAGTAACTTAGACATAATACGAAAGAAAACCATTAACCAGTAGTAAATAGATTTCCAGCCATGCAATCGATGCTTTTTTTATACTTTTTATTTAATCTAATACTCAAAGTTAGCTTATGTGTAATTAAAACAGATACCTGGAAGGCCAAAAGATCCTCCACGGCTGTTTATGTGCCCTAACGTTCCTACACTCGAATTCGGGCCCAGCCTCCATGGGCGCGAAACAGAAGAGACATTAAATCATACAAGCCAATATCTATATATAGTGATACTAAATAGAAATATAATAGAAGATGGTTTGAGTTAACCTATATCCGGTTAGAGTTAATGCTATATAAACCACAACACCAGCTTAGATTGCTCGTGAACGTTATCATCACAGACTCATCTGATTATATAAGTAATCTTCATAGTTTTTCATTATTTTCCGCGCTGATTGCATTTGATTTTCGGCGGATTTCTTATAATTATTAGGCTGCGTTTTTTTGACTTTAATGCATTCTATTACCAATGCTGTTTCCGCTACATATAGTCTGCACCGTGATAAACGGTAGCAGTTTCGGTACGGGTAGCCGACCCTCCTTGACACTATGTGTAGTAACATCACTGATTCACACTGTAGCAAGCTGCGTTACACATGGGAAATATCTGTGGAAATTTAGTAAGAATTAAAGAAAAAGCCAAATTGTGAGAGAAAAGTGTTTACGGAAACTTGCCGCTTTACAACTAGAGAAAATAGACCGTTATAGACCGAAAAATACCGTGATAGAGAACTGCGAAAAAGACTACGGAATCGTGCAAAAACTACGAGTAATGTTTCGCATTATCACTCAGTAGCTAAAGTTGACAAAAGTGAAACAGCCAAATTTACTAGTACCGCTTTTACCCAGGCACAATTGAATTTCAAATCCTTGGTAGGAGGTCGTTGACAATTGTATAGACACAATCAACTGCTTCAAGACCAATAAAGCCATAGTCGCTAATCAAGAGAACCTACTTCGCGTTGTTCTCAGAGGCCAGATAAACGACCGATTTCTATAAGCGTGTAGCTAGACACACACTAGGGAACCGGTTTTTTTTCTATATATGTTCTACGGCAGTGGACTGAATCTCAGTGCTGCGGATAGCACAGTAGTTGAAATAATAGATGATCCTATGCAACGAAAAATCGGGAAGTGGCAGGACAACATTTTCAACAGCCATTTCCTTACCACTTAATAGAGAGCACTTTACATAGTTCCGAAATGAATTTCGATTTCGAAATTCGCACCAAAATATTATTCGTTTTAGCATACTTCTCTGAATTCGGGCACTTCAGATGCTATATATTGCATGCATAAGCGCCTCAAACTGATGCGCCTACTGATGGTACATGGATCATAGCTCAATAGAGCCGTCAACACACTGGACA